CGACGACGGAGCACGCGCCGCCGGCCAATCTCTTTGGCATGTTTGCCTCGGCCGACTCGTCGCATTCCGCGTCGTCGTGGGACCCGCCGGCGCCGTACGCTGAGAACGGAAGCAGCTTTGGCTTTGGCAGCAACAGCAGCTTTCGCCCGGCGACCGCCTTTGGCATGGACGTCGGTCGTCTCCACGGCGCAGAGTTCCAAGACGATCACGACCTCGACGGGCCGTTCAGCCGCCGCTTTGGCGGCATGGGCGAGAAGAAGAAGGCGTACCAGCCGCCCCGCCGCGACGAGTACCCACCGGCCGCCAATTACAGATAAGAAGTGAGATGCGACGAAGTAGTCGTCGTCCAGTAGACGCAGGAAGAGTGTGTATAAGCCAGTAGCACCATAATAGCAGCCTCCATTAGCTAGGACTAGCATACGTCCTGGGAACGGTGAGGAGGTCCGGAGCTTAAGAGGAGTTGGACGTGATGGGTCGGTCGATGGAAGCGGACCAACGACAGGTTGATCACCAACAGTTGAAGGCGACGGCAGCAGCTGTTCAAAACGCGTTATATCAGAAAAGAAAAGCAGATGGTGGCGTGCCACGTAATGCGTTTTTCGACTTGGCGTGATTCAACCCATGCGGTTTTTGTTTAACGCGACGAGCACCGTGCGTTTTTGTGGGCGACGATAAAACGTCCGACGTCCTCGCGATGGGTTGTTCGATATCGAAGATCGTCGGCGCGTCGGGACCGGAGACGACTAGACGCCAAGTAGCGCTGCCATGTTCACCGCCTCGTCGTCGCCCCGCGTAGCCGACTCGGTCGTCGCGTCCATCTGCACCATGAAGCTCTGCCAAGGCTCGAGCTTCTCGCTCGACGAGCACGAGGTACGACGTGTGCCAAGTACCATGGCCCATGTGCATACTACTAGCAATGGCGCAGCCAAGCTGCGCGCAACCCGATTCTGATCACGGTACCACCTTGGCGCTGCGAAGAGCCTACGGAGGCTAGGTCGCTTCATAGGTCTCGGAGCCCGAGTCGCGCGGAAGCTACCTCAAGAAGCACACGACGTACGTGGTGCAGCAGGAGCCGCAGAACACGCGCGTCCGCCGCCGCTTTAGGCACGACCGCCTTCTTCATGGTCTGGAAGAGCATCATGGCATGCATGTGTAGCGACTTTGAGTGGCTCCACACAACGCTGTGTGCGCGCTACATTGGCATGCTCCTCCCGTCGCTGCCCGAGAAGACCGTGTACAAGACGGAGGCCTTCATCCGCGGACGCATGCGCGGCCTTGCGCTCTTCCTCAACCACGTCATCGCGTCGCCCTTCTTGCGCCACGACGCGTCGGTCGTGGGCTTTTTAAACGTCGGCGACGACGGCGAGTGGGATCACATCAAGAAGGTAGAGTCGTCCACATTTCCCATGTCATTCTGCGGTTGTCTGACATATGACAGAGCTCGGTCGTCATGGAGCATGCTGGCGAAGGCCACATGCAGTGGATGAAGTGTCTCTTGCACACGACGTTGCCGGACGACGCCGACCAGTTGGTAACGCATGATACTCTCGATGCTCAACCTGGCGGCGTAGGATGCTCCTCAACCTCAAGCGCGACGCTGAGTTTGTCGACAAGGCGTGCAACGACCTTCTTCTGTGCTCGAAGCGGCTCGCTGACAAGTCGGCTGCGTACGCCAAGGAGCTCTCGGAGCTCGCGACGCACTTTCAGCAGTGGAAGGCGACCGAGTACGTGACGGTCTCGGACAAGGCGCCCGACGTGCAGTCGATTCTCGGCCATACAAGTTTGTGTTGGGTTTCTGCTTGCATCGCGTACTAATAGACATGTATATCGGTAGCGACGGCGATCGGAGCGTGGAGCGAACTCGCGCAGCACCAGCCCGTGATCCACGAGCTGCTCTTGCACGAAGGCATCAAGTACATTGCGCATCAAGTCAAGGACTTTAAGGAGCTCCTGCGCGTGCGCGACCTCGCCCTCGTATTCCTCTCTTCCTTGCCTTTTTCGTGGATTGAAGACGTATTTAGGTGCAGTTTGACAAGTGCAACCGCAACCGGTCGGTGACGACGCCGCCCAAGCAAAGCTACTTTGTACGCGCCGAGCCGACGGGTCCGGAGGCCGAAGCGTCGGCGTACCGCTTCGACCACATCATCTTTTGCATGAACCGCGCGCTCTTCTTCTCCGAGATGCAGCGCTTGCAGTACATGATTTCGCGTGTGTGCGATGGGCTGCAATGACACGGCGCTGTGTGTAGTGAGATCAAGGCGACGATCTTGCACGAGACGTTTGGACCCTTCTCGTGCGCGCAGTACCAAGTGGCCAAGAAGGTAAGAATCGTCGTCCTTGAAGATGGGAGCGTGACGTCGCAACTAGCTCGGCGGTCTCTGGCATGGCTACATTGATGCGGCCGACATCAACCAAGCGGTTCGAGCTACCATGACGAAAGCTTTGTTGAAGGAGCGAATAGGACATGATGGTGGCCGCCAAGCAAGTGCTCGACCTCGCCCAAGTCACGTACGACCCCAAGGTGGACGGCTAGGCTCTGTAACTTTATACATGCGATTGCGAGTGCACGTCTCCTCTTCCTTGGAGTTCCGAGAGACGCACTGAGATACGCATTGATACATTGATACAATCATGACGTGGCAGCGCCAGAGACATGCGGCGCGGGAGGGCGTATCCGGATCGGTACTTTGAAGCGTCGCGATCATAACGGACATGTACACGGCCAAGCCCAAGACGACGACGCGCGCCAAGGTAGCGTCGGCGAGGCGACATGGCGCTGACAAGCACGTAGGCGGCGCAGGAGACGGCCAAAGTCAAGGCCAAGAAGGGCCCGTCGGTCGAGGAGTGCGTCGGGAAGCGCGACTTTACTGGCGGCGCGACGATCCTCGAGTTCAATGTCAAGAGCGACGACACCAAGCCCGAGGACAAGCGCATGCACTTGCTCTGGCTCGCGTACTGCTACTTCCACCTCGGGCAGTACCAGCGCGCGCTCGACACGTACGAGGAGGTTCGCGACCCGCCGGACGAGGTCCCGCTCTACCGCGCGTGCTGCATGTACTACCTCCAAATGTACAAGGAAGCGATGAAGGAGGCGACCAAGGGCCCATCGAGCAACCCGCTCCAGAACCGCATCTTGTTCCACTGCGCGCATAAATTGGGCGACGAAGACAAACTCCTCGTGTACCACCAGCAGCTCTCGCAGAGCAAGGAAGACCAGCTCTCGCTCGCTGCGATCCACTACCTCCGCAACCACTTTCAAGAGGTCTGCATCACTCTCGTCGGCCGAACTCATCACGATATGTCTGGTAGGCGACATTTACAAGCGGCTCCTGCTTGAGAACCGAGACGACATCGCACTCAACGTGTATGTGGCCATGTGCTACTACAAGCTCGACTACTACGACGTCTCACTCGAGATCATGCAAGCGTACCTGCAAGCCTTTCCCGACAGCGTCGTCGCCATCAACGTCAAGGCGTGCAACCAGTTCAAGCTCTATAACGGCAACGCCGCCAAGGACGAGCTCAAGGTGCTCACCGAAAAGGGCTACAACATGGAGCTCAACGACCTCGTGAGCCACAACATGGTGGTCTTTGACGACGGACAGAACGCTCTGCGGGTGCTGCCGCCGCTCGTCGAGTCGTTCACGCCTCAACCTCGTCCGCCGCGACGTCTTTTTAGCCTGTGGGCTCATGGCCCGTCATCGTTCTTAGGTGATCTACTATCTCAAGCACGCCAAGGTCCAAGACGCGTTCGAGCTCATCAAGGACATTGAGCCGTCGACGCCCCAAGAGTACATTCTCAAGGGTATGTCTTCGACATCGTCCTAGCATGGGACGAAAAGCGTGGGGTAGGGGTCGTGCACGCAACGCTAGGGCAGCAAACCAACTCGCGCCAGCACATCAAGACGGCGCAGCAGTACTTTCAGCTGGTTGGGAGCTCGCCCACCGAGTGCGACACGATTCCTGGCCGGCAGTGCATGGCGTCGTGCTTCTACCTCCTCAAACAGTTTGAGGACGTCAACATTTACCTCAATTCGATCAAGCAGTACATGTACAACGAAGACGACTTCAACTGGAACTTTGGCATCGCGCTCTGCAACACGGGCAGCCACGCCGAGGCCCTCGAGGCCCTCCTTCGCGTACGTATCACGATTTTGAACTTGGACGCTCAGTCGTGGCAGGTGACCAAGGACGAGTACAAGCACGACTACTGCTACATTTCGTGGCTCTGCCGCTGCTACATCTTCAACGCGAATCCGTCGAGCGCGTGGGACCTCTACCTCAAGCTCGACAACTCGGACGAGTCGTTCAACTTGCTCCAGCTCATTGCGCACGACTGCTACAAGGTACGCCGCGTCGATTTCGGTCGAGAGACGAGCATGCGTAGATGGGCGAATTCTTCTACGCGGCCAAGGCCTTTGACGTCCTCGAGCGCCTCGACCCGGACCCCGAGTACTGGGAAGGCAAGCGCGGCGCGTGCGTTGGCGTGTTCCAAAAGGTCGTGGCCGGCAAAGCGTCGCACGTCGAGCTCGAAGAGATCTTTGGCATGCTCAAGACCAACAACAACCCGCAGGTCGAGTACATTGTGCGCATCATGAAGAAGTGGTGCGCCGAGAACGGCATTGCGCTCTGAGACTGCACTGGGATAAGAATAAGATTGCATCATCGTCATTCCTGGGGCGCGTCGCACACTTCGCAGGCGACGAGGTCGGCGTCGTTGACAAACGTGCACTGCGCGCAGACCCACACGAGCTGGACAGCGGCGGTCGACGGTCCAGCATGGAACGCCGTGGAGCGAAAACCTTGCTCCTGCTCGGTGGTCGGGCCAGTGACAAGAATCGCGTCCGCGTCGCTGAGCTCGCCATCGAGCGCCTGCATAAAGACCGTGTCATGCACTTCGACCCTGTAGTAGAAAAGTTGAGTCGGACGTGATATGAGGACGCGTCGTGTTCGTACCCCGCCGCCTTGAGACTCGAATCGTTCTCCAAGAGGACGCCTTTGAAGTAGAGCACTTGGTGGTTCGGGTCAATGTCGCAGTGTTCGAGGATCTAGCCGACCACGTCAGTAGGATTGATAAAAGAATGGGGCATGTAATGGGACGAACCTTGTGCTTGAAGAGAAGGACCGTGTCGTCCGCGTTGCACTCGACGTGTAGCGTGTCGCGCTGCTTGCGGCTTTTTCGGTTCGACCGACGCCGCTTGGAGAGCGAGGCGCTCGCATTGGGCGCCTTGGACGGGACAGGCTAGACCCCAATATGTACTATGAGACATGCACATACAAACAAAAGTACGTACGTCGTCCGGGCCGAGCACCTCGACATGCACGACGCCCATCTGAAAGTTGCGATGCTCGTCGTCGCGCGCGGCTTCGCACACCGAGCAGAGCTCGACTCGGTGCACGAAATCCATCTCGACGTCGTCACCCGCCATGCTTTGCAGCGTGCCATAGACGACCGCGTGGTCCGTCTTCAATGTCACAAACGGTGTGTCGACACCGCCGTAGAGGGCAAAGAGTCGCATCCACTCGTCGACAGTGACGAGCTCGCCGTCATTCTCGGTAGTATGGCGCGTGGCCGGCACGGACGTCGGCAGCATGACGTGCTTGATGTTGTGCGGCACGAGGTACTTGCCGTGCGCGCACTGAAACGCTGCAAGGTCCAGCGGCGGCGGTTCGTCGACGTTCATGTCGTCAAAGTACTTGCGCCACTGCTGGAGCCACGGCCGCGGCAGGACCACGTACGGGACGTCGCACGACATCTCGTCCATTGCATCGTCAAATGGGTGCGCGAGTCGACGCTTGTAGAGCGTCTTGAGCATCGGGTTCGCGCGCAGCACCTCGTCGCGCGTTGTCTGCGCTTGGGCGTGGTACTCCTCCAAGGTGGACGCGACGGCCGCGCACTCGTCGCACTCGCCGCCCGTCGCCTCGAGCTCGAGTGCGACCATGTTCTCGCGCGAAAAGTACGCCCACGAGACCGGCGAGATGGTGCGCCACTGTTTGCGCGTGTTGGGCCGCAGCGCGCCGTGCGGGCACACAATGTCGGCGTTGATCGGGCTCTTGAGGATGGTTTCTGCCTCGTCGAGCTTCTCTGGCTTGGTCTTGACCTTCTTCACACCGTGCTGCACGCAGATCTTCCACGCGTTGATCCACTTGCGACTCATGACGTACGCAACGCCGTCCTGATCGGTCGCTTGGAGTTGCGACAGTTGGTCCAGGACCCCTTGCGTATCGTTGTGCAGCTGCAGCGTCGTCGTCTTCCACGCCTCCATGCAGTCGTTGCACCTACACAAATGTCGCTAGCGATAAGAACTAATATGTTTTATGAGAAATACCCAAACGTGGCACTGGACACGACTGCTTCCGGCGGAGGCGCCAGCGCCGACACGACGCGAGGGGACACCCGCTTGTAGTGCAGACGCGCGAGAGCGGGCTGCAACTTTCCGTGCTCGCACAACGAGGCAGCTGCATCAAAAGCAAACCCGACCTCGCTGCTCAATCCAATGTCGGCGCCTTGGACCCAGTGCCGGATGTAGTCGGTCGCGACCCACGCATAGGCCTCTGCGTCCGCATTAGGGACGGGTGCAAACGCCTCAAACGACCGCCGGTACATCTTTTTGCGCTCGTCAATCTTGCTTTGGATGGCCTTGGCCTGTCTCGAGATGAGTGAGATCCTTACAGGAAGCAGCCAACCTCGGCTTTCCACGCGTCTTGCTCCCGAGCAAACTGCGCGTTGCTTGTCTCGACGTCGATGGCAAACGGAATCGCGTCGGCCGGTGCCACAGGCGTCATGACGCGCGAGTAGATGAGCATGTACGCCTCTTTGGAGGGCCCGACGACGGCGCTCGCATCGACAAGCGAGACGTCCACATCGTTGAAGCAACACCACTGGCCAACGTCGGGGCTAAAGACCGTCGCCGTGTAGTGGCCTGCATGCGCCGTCGTCCCCTTGTGGTTGAGCACGGCCGTGAGTTTGTACTCGTGTGGCCCCAGCACCAGCGTCTCGCTCATTGCGATTGCGTCCTGGACCTTCTTCTTGGCCTGGAGCCGGACGTCGTACACAAACCGCATAAAGTGCAGCGACAGCGTCGGCGGCAGCGCATTGTAATCCAGCTGGATCTGGCGCGTCGCTCGTTGCTTGCTTTGGCAGTGGCCGCAAAAGTACATGTTGTCTCCTTCGAGCAGCTCGGGCGCCAAGAACGCCTACATGGAAATACCATGATGCGAATGAAGAAGGTATTACGACGACCTCCAACGAGTCGCGCACGGTGGCGTGGCCTCGAATGCCGAGACTCTATAATAGCGTCCATGCATGAGATGGAGTACAACATCCTTGCAAACGAAGCGCATACAAGGTCGCTAAAGGCCTCTGTCCGATTGGACGCCATGTTGCACCGTAAGCACGTCGTGACGTTCTGCATGCGCCCGCGAAAATGCTCGTTGATGAAGCTGCGCTGGCGCTCGTCCGAAGAGAAGGCAAAGATGGACTCGAGGTGGGTCAAGAGCAGCTTTGTAAATTCCTATCAGATGCCCATGTCCTGAGCGCAACGAGCGAGATGGGACATCGTATATGTACATGGGCGTCCTGCTGAATGTCTTCGTTGAGGCTCAATGTACCCGAGAACGCTTGCGGGTCGGCAAAAGACTTGGCGCTGAACTGCATGCTCGCAAAGAGGCGCTGGAGGGCCTGCATCTGCCCGAGCCGACCGACGTCGACATGACTCCGGTCGTTGGGCTTCCACTCGTGCACGGCCCGGCGGAACGCGAGATCCATGAAGAGGACTTGGACCATGCTGTTGACGTAGCATGTTGCGCCGAGGTTACGCAAGCCGCATGGGGTGCTTGGCCCGTCCGCTGTCACCCGCGTCCGGACCGCGAGGGAGGGATTGTCGCCGAGCGCGTCCAGCACGGCCGGGTGGGTCTTCCAGATCCCCTACAGCTTCGCATGAGCTTCCGTAGCGCTTGCATCGCGCGGAATGGACCTCCATGTACTCGCCGAGACCAAAGATGCAGTTGGGGTTCTCGTTGCAGTTGGTGGCCGGGCGAGGCCCGCGCTTCTTCCCTGTCGTCGTCGTCGTCTGCATGCTGCGGTGGGCTTCCTTTGGGCAGATGGGCAGATGGACTCCATATGGGTCGCTCGTCTCGGGGAAGTCGTCCTCGCGCTTCCGCTTGAGCTTGGCCATCGCGAGCTGGCCGAGCCAAAATGAGGTCGTCGCAATATTGACCAAATATATTGATGCTCGAGGTCCGCTCAATATATATTGGCGCGGCAAGCCCACGGCAACTCCAGGCCTGTGTCAGGGACCGAGCACTTACGACGCCGTCTGCATTGCACTTGTTCAAGGTCGTCCATAAAGGTCGGCGGCGAAGTGCATTGTTGTTCTTCGAGGTCGACGCTACTATGCTTGGACGGTCGGGGCATCCTTGCAATACGAAGCATCGAGGTTGGTGCGTCGACATCTCGATGTGCATATACTAGAGCAGTGTCTGTACACGCTGCATTCCTCGGCGCTAATGACGACGAATCGCTACGATGTAGCTGATGCATGGGTCTATAAGCTTACTTGGATTGAGACTCGTGCGACCAAAGGAGGAGGGTATGGTGATCCAAGCACTTCGGTGACCAAAGGTCACGCAGGTGCCTCCGCAGTCCTGCGAGATCTAGATTGCACGCCAACAGCATGGCGAGTGGCCATGCCGAGCATCTCCGATTCCTGAGTTCTGTCACAGAACTCAAGATCGCCCGGCATGAGCGCGATCGATCGAGGTAAATGTGAGGTAAATGTAGTTTCTTGGAGCATCCACGCATGGCATGTAGCCAGGGTGCATCTGCCCTCTTGCGTCCAAAAGCCGCGCGATGACAATACTTCATTGCGCCAGGAACGCGGTCATGCATGCTCATGGCACTAACTAGCGTATGTAGCACCACTGCCTGTTGGTTTTGTCGACACCATTGGCGCCCATACTAACACAGTCTTTACGTTTATTGCCAAGCATTCGACCCTCTCAATGGGCAGTGCTATCGTGCTGCGTCTACGAGCACCATCTCTGCGTGCCACCGATGATGGCCCCTCCTGGTCTAGTACCCAGTTCAGACTGGCTTCGCCACACTTGTTCGCGTGGAGTTGCACCGTCCCGCAACGTGCAAACGTACTCCATGTACGCAGTCGTCTTCGTGGCTAGCAGCGACGCGCCTGCAGCGTAACCGTGTCCATTCCATCAACGCGCGCACCTCTCCCGGATCAGGCGTCATCACTGCAATGAGTTTATCCGGATTATGCTACAGTATCCGGCACTGCGCGTTCACTGGTGTAAAACTATACATCGCGTGGATTGGCTATTATCTGGCCAATCATCAGCACGCGTCAAGCCAATGGCCAACACAGCTTGGCACCAATGGCGACGGGCCAAAAAGCTTGCTGAAATCACTCCTGTATTAGCTCCGTCTGAACAGCATCTAAGATGGGTACGCCGACCTGCTCTTACGATTGCCTGTACGACGTCGAGGGATCCGCCCCGCCAGGCGCGCCCGCCTCCATGGGCCCTGGCACCCCGCGGCTGCACTGTAGCTGCGGGGCGCGAAGCATCTTCACTGCTGTATCCCCGTCGTGCAGCATTCGAACGATGATCCATGTGCGTGGTGCTGATGCATGACGCTACCTTAGGTATCTCCCGTGACTCGAAGCACAAGCGCCGTGAAACCGGTGGCAAGCGCAAGTTCTTCCGCAAGAAGCGAAAGTTCGAGCTCGGCCGCCAGCCCGCCAACACCAAGATGGGCGCCAAGCGTGTCTCGACGGTCCGCGTCCGTGGCGGTAACCTCAAGTTCCGCGCCCTTCGCCTTGAAACCGGCAACTTCTCGTGGGGCACGGAAGTGACGGCCCGCAAGACGCGTGTCTTGGACGTGCTTTACAACGCGTCGAACAACGAGTTGGTCCGCACCAAGACGCTCGTCAAGAACGCCATCATCCAGGTCGATGCCACGCCGTTCCGCCAGTGGTACGAAGCCCACTACGGCGTCAAGCTCGGCAAGGTCAAGGCCGATGATGAGGAGGCTGCCAAGAAGTCGAACCACGTCGAGCGCAAGCAGGCCGCCCGCGCCCGCGCCCAGGTCCTCGACCCCAAGATTGAGGAGCAGTTCAACTCGGGCCGTCTCCTTGCTTGCATCTCGTCGCGCCCCGGCCAGTCGGGCCGCTGCGACGGCTACATCTTGGAGGGCAAGGAGCTCGAGTTCTACTCGCGCAAGCTCGCCACCAAGAAGTCGAAGAAGTAAATTGTCTTTACTTAAGGGAAACTTTCAGATTGGAGTCTTTAAACACAACATGGTTCTGTCCCATGGCACCCCACACACCTCTCTTGATCGCTTTCTACTTTCGCACGACTACCGGCAAGTACATAAAACTATCAAGCCGCTTCAAAAAGTGAAATGGCATCTCACCCCCTATGATTGCCTCGTGTCTACAAGGGCAGCAACAACTTGGTCTCGATAGGACCACCTAGTTGACCACCTCGATGAGCCGCAACCATCCGAGAGCCAAAATGATACCCTTGCAAAGTCGTCAAAGCTTAGAAACTCGGCCGTCCCGTCGCTCGACACCTCTTCCATCGTGCGCGTGACCACCATGTCGAGGTCCTTATGATATCATCGCTGGTAAGGCAAGGGCGAGGTACAACCATGGCTTCGTACCTTTTCCGTCTCGTCGGTCTTGTCGCCCGAGTCGGCGACAAGACACAAGTACGCGAGCAAGTCGGCCTTGGAGATGCGACCGTCGCCATCGAAATCATGGAGCTTGAACGAGGCTATGACGTGGCGTCAATAGGAAGCAGGACGACGTCGTACTCATACCTCGCAGCTTGGCATCCTTGGAGCTGTGGTACGTAAAGACGGCCATCACGGCCACAAAGGCCTATGGGCAGCTTGGGACTCTGCGCTACCCGTTGCATGGACGTACTGGAAACGCGACATCGCCCGTTGGTGTGAGCTCAAAGAGACTCCAGAGGCGCTCACGCAGCGGATTGATCGCGACGACTAGGCACAGCCCCGTGGTTCTCTCTACGACTAGTAGTACTAGTACCTGGAATCGACAAGAAGGCGTCCTTGCTCATCGCATCGTCGGTGCTGTGCGATAGGAACCGAGTCCGAAAATGCAAAATGGCCTCGACAGGGACTACCATGCGCAAGCAGATAAGATTCATCGTTCACGTTGTGCATGGCGTACGCAGCGTGAGCATGCGAATCTCCTCAATCTGCTCGGGCGAGAGGTCGCACGGCGGCGGCGCGCGGCGCGCTGCCAGGTACTGGCCCATGGTATTCGTGGACGTTTCGCTCCGTTATATATGTGGTGTCGCATGGCCTCCGTCGGGCAGCGGGCCATAGACTGCCGCTGCGACCTGCCGCTGCTTGCATTGTCCGTTCCTATAAGAACTGACATGTCATGGCTCAGCTAGCGTGGACGGGATCCAAGCTGGCAGCGGCGGCGCGCTGATCGTTCGAAAGATATGCTTTGGGCTACGAACTACGCTTTCGCCGACTTCGAACTACGAAATACACGGCGTGTTTGTATGGGCTTGGTCTTCTCTTGGTTTGAGTATGGGTGTGCTGGGCGACAATGTGAGGCCGCGATGGCAATCCCGATTTTCCCCTTTCGACCAAGCGGCAGGAAGCAGCAATGTCTGGAGACGGCTACGATCGCCACATTACCATCTTCTCGCCGGATGGCCGCCTGTACCAGATTGGTAAGAGCTGCACATGGTCATGGCCATGGTACGTGGAAGCGCATGCTCATGGCGGCGTGCGTAGAGTACGCGTTCAAGGCCGTGAAGGAAAGCAGCCTCACGTCTGTGGCCGTGCGCGGTGCCAAGAGCTGCGTGGTCGTGACACAGAAGAAGGTTCCGGTACGTCGCGCTTGATGCTGCTATCGCCGCGTGGGCATGGCCTCATCGTGATGCACAGGACAAATTGATCGACCCGGACTCGGTCACCAACATCTTCAAGATCACGCCTTTGATCGGGTGCTTGATGACGGGTCTCTACGGTATGCTAATCACGCGAGGTCCGCCCTGACGAATGTGGATGCTAGCCGATGCCAAGGCCCAAGTCCAGCGCTTGCGGTACGAAGCGCACGACTTTGAGCACAAGTATGGCTACCCCGTGCCCTGCCACGTGCTTGCGAAGCGCCTCGCCGACATCTCGCAGGTCTACACGCAGCACGCGTCGATGCGCGCCTTGGGTGTCGTGACCATGCTCATCAGGTACCGCCATGCCACGCGTCATCGGCAGATATGTCATAATCCGTGTAGTGTCGACGAGGAGAAGGGCCCGCAGCTATACAAGATTGACCCGGCTGGCCACTTCTGGGGCTACAAGGCCACGGCAGCCGGTGTCAAGGACCAGGAAGCGACCAACTACCTCGAGAAGAAGATCAAGGCCAACGCCGCGATGGACCACGAGACGACGGTGCACACTGCGATCACGTGCCTGCAGTCGGTCTTGTCGGCGGACTTCAAGCCGAGCGAGATCGAAGTCGGTATCATTGTCGAAGGCGAACGGTACGCCACCACCATTTTCCTTGCTGGAGGCTCATTCGGTGCCTAGCTTCCGGAAGCTGACCGAAAACGAGATCGACGGCTACTTGACGGCCATCAGCGAGCGGGACTAGAGCCTGCTTCGTTGCGTGGCACGCATTGCATTAATTCCAGCAACAAGTCTTTGCTTGCGCCTGTATATCTCATCAGTCTGTCTGCACTGCTATGGAGAGATGCAGCACGGGCATGCGTGCGAGCGCCGCCATACGAGACATCTTGAGCAAGTGCTGCACCATGAAGCGGAATGGATCAAGCATTTACTTCATCGCTTGCCACAAGTTGTTGGAGAAGAGCCACATGCATGCTGCGATCTCGGCACGCTGAAGTTGCTACCTACCATGCTCCGTGTCGACTTCTGCTGCTGGGTCGAGACGTCAGATCGCTTCGACGATGCGGCTATTGGAGCCTGCATAGCGCGGGCACGCCACGCGTCGCCTCTGCATCGCCAGCGCATCGGTACCGTTCGATGCGACTACGAAAGGCCATACACATGGCGAATATACACAAAGGATCTTGTTGAAGCATAATACTCGCGTCTGCCTAATCGTCCTTGTGGGGCTCGTCACTAAGGAGGTACGCAGCCATGCGGCCAAAGTACACAAGGTAGCAGATGCACATGAGGACAATCGTCACGATAAAGACGCCCGAGCCTTCGCCGCCGGACGGAATCCCGCCGTAGACGTCATAGTTGTCGCTCGAGTAGCCGTACTTTTGGACAGTCGGGAAGCCCGCGAGCCAGAAGAGGACGTTGCTCGCGATGAGGTTGAAGGCCCAGCCGTAGTTGCTGTTGATGTACTTGCCGACGGTCCGCTTCGTGCTCTTGTCCATGCTGCGTCGTCGACTTGGCCGTTTTGAAAATGAAACCTGTAACAGCTCCTTCGATTTCAGATTTAAGAAATCTATTTTTGACCTTGACTACGCTGTACTTGACTTTGTATGGCACAGCAATCGGTTTATTAAATTTTCACACCATACTTATTACCAAGTGGCTCCGAATGGCAGACAACTTGACCTTTGTATACCCACGTTGTGCGAGGCTATAACGGTGGCACATCACTCGAGATGTGGAGCAGCTCCACCGGTAGCTCCACCAGCCGCCATGCGTAGCCAACTAACTACCTTCTTGTCGGCCTCGTGCCAGTACCTTGGTCTGTACCTTGGTGCATGGAGCCCCCGAGCCGAGGAAGAGGCCATGATCTCGCCATCGTTGCAATAGGTTTTATGGACGAGGCTGATGAGTCGTACCTGAGACGAGGCACGAGAAGGATGGATGGAGGAAGCTTTATCTTCTTCCTTGGCACACAGCGAGAAGGACCAGGCGTGGCCAGCTGAGCTCGGTAGCCTGATCACGTACTACAACGTACGCCATACTGGTAGCGTGTTACCTCGGCCTCGATGCGCCACAAGCTCGGCGAGACGGGCTCGGCGAGGCCCATGGCAGCTGGCCGCTAGCTCAAACCAAGAGGTGTGCGAACATGATAATTTTCAGAGAGATGGAGATGACAATCCGTGCACATGTACATTGTGGGATTAGCACGATGACGTGCGGCGCCTTCGCACCTCGGTGGTGGTGGCGGGCGCCAAGAAGTCGTCGACGTCGGCTGTCGGCGGGACGTTGATCAAGCCACGCTTGGTTTCCAGCGCGCGCTGGAGCGTATCGTAGTGCTCCATGTCCTCCAAGAGGCTCGTGGCCCCTTCGTAGGCCACAAAGCGCTGCATAAACTCGGACGCCTACTCGATACGAGGATACCGCAAACGCTCCCAACAGCCTCGTACCTCGTTGAAGGGGATCTCGTCGCAGTCACGCACCGACGTGATGTTTTTGCCGTCGTTTGGGAGCACAATCGTCTTGAGTGCGTGGTTGGGCACGTCTTTGACGACGAGCCACTCGACGTTGAAGTAGCCCTCGTACTTGGTTTTTTCCCAGAGCAGAAAGTTGCGGTCGCTATGCAGGCCCGACGTCATGCGCGCAATGCCGCAAAAGTGCTTGCTGCCGCAGACACTACACGAAGGCGTTTAGATAGTACGAAAGAGGATGGAGGTGGCACCTGAAGAAGAAGAGGATCGGGCGCATGCACGAGAGATCCCGGCCAAAGGCCGCGTCAAGAAAGTGGTTGCTAATGTACGTGCTCGTCCAGATGCCATACTTGATGCTAGGATGCCATGCCACGCTGCGACGACCGATCCAACGACGAAGAGGATGCGCTACCTCTTGTGCACGTCGGCTTCGCTAAACGTCTTGAGGACAAAGTAGCGGCAAGTGCCTTGGTTCAGGTAGGGCGCAATGGCCTCATAGTCGGCCGCTACCGGTGCGCTGCAGGCGACCGGCTGCTGCAGGCGCGGTGGCACCACGGCCGGCTTGGGCTTGCGGGCGCGCTTGTGCTGCATCGCTTTCAGGATGGGCGATTGGCTGTCTTGAATGCGGCATATGCCACACACTAGGGTTCAGACGACGACCGAACACTGTCCTTGGACGCGGTGGCAGGCGGCATCGGGACGCGTCATTGCCAACGACGCTCGTCATGCCATGCGCGATTGCACCAAATAGAAAGGGTGCATTGGGGTGTGTGGTCATCACGTGGATCGACGCGGCTGTCGTGGCGACGTTATCTTAAACGTGGCATATGCCGAACATAACAGGATGGCCTTCGCAAGCGCTCTTTCCAAATGTGATTCGTCGAAAGTACAATTTGTCCCGCGCGTTGATTGGCTACCTGGAATACCTGGTGCAATGCCATTGGGCGAATCGCGTCGTGGCGCTTGACCACAACTTCACTTTATCATGCTCGCCCGCCTTGCTTCGCGTTCGCTGCCGACGGCCCGCGCCCTGCGCATGGCCGCGCCTGCCCGCCTCTTCTCGGATACGCACGACGACTTCAAGCCCAAGTACCACGCGGCGGCGTCGGCCGAGCCCGATGATGTGCTCAAGCTCATCCAGAGCCATGTCTCGACGTACCCGATCATGCTCTACATGAAGGGCACGCCGACGTCGCCGCAGTGCGGCTTCTCGCGCCAGGTCGTCCAGATCATGCACGCGCAGGGCGTTAGCTTTGACAGCGTGAACGTCTTGGACCACCCTGAGATCCGTGAAGGCGTCAAGGAGTTCTCGTACGACAACACTCTCTACGAGTACGCTTCCAACGCTAACTTGTCGTCTTGTCTAGGCAATGGCCGACGATCCCGCAGCTCTTTGTCAACGGCGAGTTTGTCGGTGGCTGCGACATCATCACGGACATGCACAAGTCGGGCGAGTTGGAAGACTTGCTCAAGCCGTTTGCCAAGTAGAGATGATGGATGATGTGATTGCCGCCCGTGAATAGAGTCACATGCGTTTGTACGTCTTGCGAACCTCTCGCCATGTAGAGTCCGATGCGAGGTTGTCGTCTTGGGTCCTGTCAGCCGCACGTGCGAGGTAGGCAGGAGCAGACGTGGCGTATTCTAAAATTCTTACAAACAATTCAGGATTCCGAGTAATATGGACAGCTTCAGATGGCGTCGTAGCCGCTGCGAGGGCTGTAGAAGCGAATGCAGAGCGCGAGCCCTAGTGCCAAGACAAGAACCGCCGTGGATGTGAGCCCGAGCACCCAGTTGATGTCCTCGGACGAGCTCGGGGCGTCGGGCTCATCGTCGTTTGGCGGCGCGCATGACTGCATGAGGCAGAGGTTCCACGCGCTCTTGGCTGCAGTGTAGAGCGACTCGTTGGCTTCAAGAAACACTTCGTGCACCACGCGACCATGCCACTCGAGGGGCGATGCAAACCCGAGGACGTGCGCGATCGTCGGCGCCGTGTCTTCGATCGAGATGGCCGACTTGAGCTCACGACTGCCGCTGCTCAGGCCGTGGCCAAACACAGCCCATTGCACCTGCTCGTTGGTCGCCGAGACGTCTCCGTGGTCGATGCCGTCTTCGTTGCGGCCGTGGTCCGAGACGAGGAAGAAGACGGTCGAGTTCCATGCACCCGCGCTCTTGACGGCCTTGAGGACGGCGCCAATGTTGGCGTCCATCGAGGCAATCGCGGCCTGGCCAACATCGGAGAAGCAGCTCGCTTCGTGCGCGCAGTCGTCGACCTCGTCCAAGTAGAGAAACAGCACTTCGGGCATCGTCGACGCATTCGAGAGTATCGAGATGGCGGTGGCGGTGGCGTTGCGGGACGCATCCAGCGTCATGTTGCAGGTCGCATCCGAGGCAAAGTATTCGTGGGTATCGATGTTGACGACCTTTGGCGGCAAGATCGCGTCCAGTCCCGGCCACGTGTACAACATGGCGGTACGCGCGTCCGGGTGCTGCTGCTTGGTGACCGAAAAGAGGTCAGGGTACACAACGCACGGTGGCAAGATCGACGGGATGCCCACCGAGAGATTCGAGGGCGCGCAGTAGCTCCACGCATTGCTCGTGACGCCGTGAAACATGACACTCGCCCCGTAAAAGATCGTGGCCCAGTTGGGCAAGCTCACCGCCGGTCGGTTGTTGCGGGCGTTATCCGTGTACACGCCATGCGAGCGCAGGTAGTGCATGTGAGGCGCGAGGCCATTGTCGAGGGCTTGGTGGAGGCAGCGCACGTCGAGCCCGTCGAGCCTGTCGAACGTCATGTGAGCTCCATGGCACATAGCACAGTGTGTACCCAAAGATGACCACGTGCTGCGCCAGGCCAAACCCGCTTGCGCCTTTGGCCGCCGCGTTGGCTACGGCGAACGCGAGGAGAAGGACAAGCGCGCGGAACCCCATGCTGACTGGGCGTGTTGCGATCTTTCTCGAAAATTATATGCCATTTTGTGGCTAACGTTGACAAATTAATTTAAAAATTATTTTATTCTGCCACCAACTTCAACATGCTCGACGGTGGCCGCATGCACTCGAATGTCAGCATGCTACCGACGAAGCAAGGCTCGGGGCGGATATGTTGTGGCGTTGAAGCGAGCATTTGCACGGCGGGCGTTGCCTTCCTGCGCTTGAACTTGCCACGCAAGCACGGCGAACGTCAGCACCATGGCCAGCACCACAAAGAGTATGAGCGCTGTGAGCGCCACGGGCTTGGACACGAGCATGTTGACGGAAAAGACTAGTATGATGGACTCCACCAGCGAGCAAGCAGCGCCAATACACTGTGTCCAACGAGCATGGACAGGAAAGGTGCTGGGCGCTTTGTCCTTGGAACTATGTCGGCTAAGAATGTAGGTCCTATAATGACGCCCGGCGCGATCCTCGGGCATCATCAGGGAAGCGCCATGGAAAAAACCTTTGTTCGGACACCTGCCTTGTCGATCCTTTGTTTCAAAAGACCCATTTTATCAGTTGCTTCTTCATGCGCATGGCGGCCTCCAAGGAGCTCGGATTACTTGTGGTGCTCGCCCTCTTCATTGCCGCCTTTGTCGCGTCGATGAACGCGCTCACATCGTCGAGCCGTTCGCCGGTGCGCGACGAGAGCAGCAACAATACCGTAACGTACACGATGCGTCTCCACCGACTTTTCGGCGCACCCGACGGCGTCAACCGCAGCATGATTGGCGTCAATGGTGGCTTTGGCTGGGACTTTGTCATCCGCGCGCGCGAGGGCCAGCGCCTCGTGGTCCATGTGCTCAACGAACTGGACGAGCCGACGACGATCCATTGGCACGGCATCTTCCAGAACCACAGCAACGCGTACGACGGCGCGTCGCACGTCACGCAGTGTCCGATTCCGGCTGGCGGCCGCCTCACCTACGCGGTCAAGCTTGAGGTAGCTACAAGCGATGTCCAATCGGCCATTTCAACCACCATGTAGCAATATGGCACGTACTGGTGGCACTCGCACCACGGACCTCAGTACATTGATGGTCTCCGCGGACCCATGATCATCGACCCGATCGCGACGCCATCGGTGGCATCCGACGAAGAGCTGATCGTGGAGCTCAGTGACTGGTACCACCGCCAAGGCGCCGACATTGTTGCGGCCATCAACGTACAACGGATCGTTTTTTACATGGAGCTCTCACACTGCAGGTCGTCTAGTCGCCAACCCTCGACATCAACCGCCCCGTGGACATCATCCCCGACGCTGCTCTCGTGAATGGACGAGGGCGCTTCAACTGCTCGTTTGCGGTTGGAGCGTGTGCGCCACAAGCAGCGTACACCATTTTTCACGTGCGCCGCAATGCGTCGTACCGGCTTCGCCTCATCAACACGGCTGCGTTCGCGGGCTTTAACGTGAGCTTGGACGGCCATTCGATGACCGTCGTGAGCGTCGACGGCATCGACGTGGAGCCGAGAACCGTGACGCACCTGCGTATCAACGTCGCCCAGCGCTACGACGTCATCGTGCACGCCAACGCGTCACCTGACAGCAACTTCTGGCTCCGCGCCACAATGAACAACGTGGCGCCGCTCTTCTTTCTCGTGCCACCAACCGGCCAAGACATTTACGGCAAGGCTCTCTGGTCCTACAGCAACGCGACCGACGACGCGCCACGCGACGATGTCACGATGACAGATCGCATCGACTTGGACGAATTGCTTTTGGTGCCGTTGCTAAAGGAAGTGGCGCCCGCGCCCGAGCTCGCCTTCAACTTTACCATCCGCATCCAGAAGAACGACACGACCAACGTCTCGGGTCCGCACGTCGCCATCGATGACGGACCGGCGTTTCCGTACCGGTACACAACGACCACGCCAACGCTCTTCTCGGTGATGAACGACGACCCGCTGCCAGCGGAGATCCACCCGCTCGTGCTGCACCAGAGTCGCACCAGTGTCCAGATTCTGGTCATCAACTACAACCAGGGCGAGCACCCGTTCCACATGCACGGTCACGCGTTTTGGGTCATGGCACACGGCACCAACTTGGCGCATATTCCCAGCATGGAATCGCTCAATGCTCTTGTAGCGCCCATGAAGCGGGACACGGTCGCTGTCGCCGCCTGCGACTCGTTCCGCGGTGAGTGCGTGCAGCCCGGCTGGACCATCTTGCGCGTCGTGCTTGACAACCCCGGTGTTTGGCTCTTCCACTGCCACATTGAATGGGACATGGCCACCGGCATGGGCATGACGCTGATCGTGAACCCGTCGACGCTGCGCTCGATGGGTCTACCGAGCGACATTCAACGCACGTGCGCGGCGCCGTAGCAAGGGAGCTCGACGGCTCTAGTCCACCAAATAAATACATACTAGTAATACATTTGTTGCCTACTAGCCTGTTGACTGGACGCTTTTGTTGACTAAAACAGGAATAGATCGAGTCGATCTGCACAGGATCGGTCGTCGCGTCGACTGGGATATCTAGGATCGCTTTTTAGCCAATCAACGACGCGCTGGTTGGCCCAATTAAATAAAATGCGAGAACGCTATGGATAGCTTGATGATTGTATGGTTTTCAAGAAGAGAGGGTTTAAATTGCGTGTAATGGCTCGCTCATTTCCGAAAATTGAGTTTCAAGAGCATGGCGCCGGCGCTCCCGGACCTTCGCCGGCTCTTCGAGGCGCAGGAACGCATCCCGACCGAGACCGCGCTCGGGATCATCCATGATGCGCTCGACCTCATGGACATGGAGCCCAACGTGCTCGAGATCCAAGCACCCGTCGTCGGTACATGCAGCATTCCGCATCGAACGAGGTGCAGGACGACGCCCCATGTGTAGTCTTTGGCGACCTGCATGGGCAGTTCTTCGACCTGCTCAAGATGCTCGACCAAATCGAGTTCTTTGCCGACAAGCCCGAACATGCAGGTAGTGCCAAGCATGCATATCTATGCGCTGGTATGCGACGATCGAGGTAGATCGCAAGCTGCTCTTCCTCGGCGACTATGTGGATCGGGGCGTCTTTTCGTGCGAAGTCATGCTTTTCCTCCTCTGCATGAAGATACATGTACGACGACCTCTTCTACGATGCGTGTACGAGATGCATGGTGTAGGCGCCAAGCCGCGTCTTCCTCCTGCGAGGCAACCACGAGTGCGAAGCCATCTCGTCCTTCTACGGCTTTCGCCTCGAGTGCAAGGCCAAGTACGGTCTCTCGGTCTACTTTCATTTTATCGAGTGCTTCCGATCGCTGCCGCTGGCTGCCATCCTCGATGCCCCTGATGGACGCATCTTTTGCGTCCACGCAGGCCTTTCGCCCGACCTCGACACGATCGCCGATATTCAGGCCTTGAACCGGCGGCAAGAACCAACAACGAGCGGTCCGCTCTGCGACCTTTTGTGGTCGGACCCGGTGCCCGAGTACGAAGTCGAGCTGCCGCTCGCCGACGAAGGTTGCTTCTATACGTATGCATCGACTCGATCTCATCTGTTTGTACTTAGGCGACAACCGTACACCGCCCGAAGAGACATCGTCCTCCTGTGGAACCAAAACCGGGCTGAAGAAGCGGCCGTCGATCGTACCCGAGACGGCGCGCTGGTCGCCCAACGAGGTACTCTCCACTTCTGCCCAACAAGTCTGCAGAACGAGCATGTTTTTAGGTCCGCGGGTGCTCGTATTACTATGGCTGCTTGGCCGTCTACTCGTTCTTGAACCGCAACAATCTGCTGTGCATTCTGCGCGCGCACGAGCTCCAGGACGAAGGTTTCCTCTTTCACTTTTCGTCACAAGCCTACTTGCCGCTCGACACGCGGCTCGACACGAGCTTCCCGCCTGTCATTACGCTCTTCTCGGCACCGAATTACTGCGACGAGTACAACAACCTCGTACGCCGTCCACCGTTTCAGACCGACTCATAGTGCAGTGGTAGGGGGCCATGATGTACATTTCGGACGCACCCAACGGCTTTGACGTCGAGCAGCTCCAGGCGACGCGACACCCGTTTCCACGCCGATATGCGCAGTCGGAAGGCATGTGGTCACTCTTCGAGTCGACGCTGCCGTACATTCCTCCAAGCACAAAGTTTTTCGAAGACATGGCCGAGCTCAATGACGTCGGCGCCGTGCCCGTCGACTCGGACGAGACGACGGGCACACCACTTCGGCGCTACAGTCGTGGCGCGTCCGCTGTCGGGCTCATCCTTGACGAGCCGGTTGCCATCGACACCCCTGCAAGTACGTCGATCGTCGTGATGAAACAGCACTGTACGAGGCATGCTTCCCTGTTCAGGCGCGGCCAAGCTCAAGCGCCGACGGTCGAGCGAGCGCCATCCGCACGCCCTCAACCCGGAATGGGACGCCATTACCCTTGAGTGGAAGCAAGACAAGAGCATTATGGACGATACATCGAGCACCGTCGACAGTCATCTTTCTCCAGACCAGTCCAAGGTCTGGCTGCCTGTGCCTTGATTGTTGTGGCCAATGAAGTGATGTATGTAGTTCTTTTCGACCAAGGAGCTCGAGATGCTAAAGCTGATGTTTACGCTCATGGACGTGGATGGCGACATGGTGTTGCAGCCCGACGAGATTGCGCGCTTCATCGAACGCATCTTGCGTACGCCGTTGCATGTGTCGAGCGATACCCGCAACAACACACTTTTTTGTCTAGTCGAGCCGATCTCGGACGAAAAGGCCATTCTGTACACCAAGGCCCTCGACTGCAACAAGGACGGCTACGTCGACCTCTCGGATCTGCTCGAATGCGCGGCCAAGATGAAGCAGCGATTCCAGTACGATTGGCACATGCACATTTCGAATGGTACACGGCGAGATGATGGCGTGTCGCATTTAGGCGGCAGCAGCAGCGCACGAAGCGCCGGTGGTCGCTCTGGTACCTCGCGCCGCTCTTTGCGACTGCGTTGGCGCTCGTGTGGCTCAAGGCGGGCAACACTGCGCGCCGGCGTCTCGCACTTTTCTTGCTGCCGTGCATGGGGCTCCTCTACGGTACGCGGCGCCGCGTCATGGAGTGATCCCCTCCTCCACTGCGATGGGATATTTACATGTTGTGGTATGTATGCAACGTCATGGATACGTGTACTTGGTCACCGTCGTCCTTACATGATGCAGCACGGCGTCGTGCCCTTCGTGTCCATCTTGGTCGACGCCGACGTCGCAGCGTGGTGGAACGAAAAGTTGCGACGGAGGTACCCCTTGAGCGCGTTGAGCTCGTCCTGCAGCAGCGTGTACGACGACACAAAGAGGTTGATGTCGGGCTGGTCCGAGAGCATTTGCTCGGCGCACACCTGGACGCGGTACGCAGCTTTCGAGACGCGCATCGCCGCCACGTACGCAGACGACCCTTTCAGCGAGTGCGCTTCGCGCCGGAGTCCGTACAAGTCTTGGCTGCTGTACGCTTCGTCGAGGCGGTGGAGCGCAATATCGAGGCCCATCGCGTACTTGCCGAGGAGGTTGATAAAGAGTTCTTCGTTGCCGCCGCACTGCGAGACCCCGAGAGAGTAGTCGACCGGGTCGCCATCCGGCATCTCGATCGCGAGGACCGCCGACGACGTCACGTTGGTGGCCGGCGGCTTGGGCTCGTCATCGTCGTCGGGCAGCGGCCGGCTCATGGACGACGACTGTTCGCGCCAGTCTTTCCAGTCCTTCGCCACGTCCGTCCGCAGCTCGAGCTTGGTCACATCCGGAAGGCTGTTGGACGTGTTGCGCTTGTGCGGTGGGGTCGCGTCCGTCTCGTCGAGCTGCAAGTCGGGGCCGACCGTGCGCGACGTCACGTGCGTCGACGACTGCGCGTCGAGCAACGCTTGCAGCGGCGACGACCGCGTGAACGACGCGCGGTTGCCGAGCGCAAACATACTCGAGCTCGCGGGTTTCACGCTGCCGCTCGAGTTGGACGTGATGGACGCCAGCGACGTCGTGCCGTCCATCGTCATCGACATCGGGTCTGCACGGTGGTGGAGCGACGGCGCGCCCTGGAGCCGGTACTGGCCCATCTTGGACGGATCTTCGAGCTCCAAGTCCGAGATGGCACGCGCCAAGTCGAGTTCTTGCGTGTGGGTCGACGCGTGCAAGAGGCCGGCGTTCGTCGGCGGCGGCAGTTGGACGCGGTGCACGGCGAGTGGCGCGAGAATGTCATTGTCGATCGACCCGACCGGCGACGGGCCCACGTCCGAGAAGGACGCTTCGTGGAGCAGATACGCAGGCTCCGAGACGCGCAACTCGGGCATGTACCGCCGGCGCATCCAGTACGTAATCATCTTGAGCAAGCCATCCTTGGCAATCGGCTTGACAATGAACTCGTCCATGCCGGCGCTGAGACACTTTTCGCGGTCATCGTTCATCGCATACGCCGTCAAGCCCAGGATCGGGATGCGGTCGAGGCCGCGCTCTTGTTCAAACTCGCGGATGCAGCGCGTCGCCGTGTACCCGTCCATGACGGGCATCTCGCAGTCCATGAAAATCAAGTCGAACGTGTCGTGGTGCTGCTTGTACGCCTCGACCGCGAGCTCGCCGTTGGGCTCCCACTGCAGATAGTGGTCGTCCTCTTGGAGAAAGCACTTGACGACCTCCCAGTTGAAGTCGTTGTCCTCGACCACGAGGATGCGCGCGTGCTTGGGCACGGACGGCGGCGTCGGGATCAAGATCGAGTCGACGGTCGTCGCGCGGTCTTTCCGGCCGCGGGCGCGTTCCGGAAGCTCGTCGTCGTCGTCGAACGTGGACTTGGACACGGCGCGGAGCGCTTCCAGTTTTGCAACGTACTCTTGCGGTGCGAGACGCACGACAACCGAGAAGAAGAAAGTGCTGCCGACATCGCGCTCGCTGTCGACGTCAATGTGCCCGTTCATGAGCTCGACGAGCTGCTTGCAGATCGCGAGGCCGAGGCCCGACCCCGTCGGGTTGTTCTTGCGCGTCCGCTCGAGCTTGGTGAAGAGCGAAAACAAGATCGACTTTTCTTCCGGGTTCATGCCCACGCCCGTGTCGATGACCTGGAAGAGCATCTTGATGTGGCCCGGTGGCACCTCGGCCTGCGCCTGCGTCACGACCGAGCACTTGACCGTGATCGAGCCCTTGTTGGTAAACTTGATCGCGTTCGAGAGCAAGTTGAGTAGGATCTGGCGCAAGCGAATCACGTCACCAATGACAATGTCGGGCACGTCCTTGCCGCGCACGATACCGAGTCGAAGGCCCCGCTCCTTGGCCTTGAGCTTGAAAATGTCGATCGTGTAGTCAAGGAGGTCGTTCATGTAAAACGGAGCCGACTGAATCTCCAAGTGGCCGGCCTCAATCTTGGAGAGGTCGAGAATGTCGTTGATCAAGTTGAGCAAGAGCGACCCCGAGACGTACGCGATGTGCACATACCGTTTCGGCGTCTGGCCGAGCTCCATCTCTTTCAGAAGCTCCATCATGCCGAGGATCCCGTTGAGCGGCGTGCGCAGCTCGTGCGAGAAGGACGCCAAGAAGTTGACCTTGGCCGCTTCCATCTGCTTGCGCGCCGTGTAGTCTTGGCCGACGCCAATCACGCCTTGGATGTTGCCGTGCGGGTCCTTCTTGGACGACGCGTTCACGAGGAGCAGCAAGAAGATGCCTTGCTTGTTGAGAATCGGCAGCTCCATCTCGCCCACGTCGACGCCGAGAAGTGCTTGGTTGAGGAGCCCGCGCACGGTCTCGCGCGACTCGTCAATGATAAACATATCGACGAGCGACATGCCAAGGATCGACTCTTTCTGGTACCCCGTGAGCTTCTCGATCTTTTGGTTCCACTCGATGATGCGCCCGCGCGTGTCGACGCCAAAGATGGGCGCGTTCGCCGTGTCGATGAGCCGCGAGTACTCTTGCTCTTGCGCAATCCGCTCGGTAATGTCTTGGCCAATGCCGACGACGCCGACAATATTGCCTATCGATTGTACGAGGATCAAACTCACGCTGCTCGGAACACAAGACGATGATGATGTACCGTGGAGGTCGTTGCGCGGCGTCGCGTTGAGAAGAATCTCAATTTTGCTACCCGGCCGCGTAATGAGCGGAAACTCAAAGTTGGCCGTTTGGATGCCGTTGAGCGCCTTCTGGAGCACCTCGGCGACCTTGGGCCGCACTTCAGGCGAAATGAACGTCTCGACGAGGTTCTCCCCCATCACCTACACAAGTCGGACGATCCTGAGTTCGGCGAGACAACAAGAAGAGGACGACGCCAACCTCGGCGATCGAGTAGTGTGTGATCTGCGCCGCCTTCTTGTTCCAAATGTTGACGCGCATCTCCGAGTCGACGCCAAAGATCGGCGCGTTGGCCGTATCGATGAGGCGCGCATACTCTTGCTCTTGCGCGATGCGGTCGGTGATGTCTTGGCCAATGCCGACGACGCCAATGACATCGCCGAGCTCGTTGTAGCGCGGCGTCGCGTTGAGCAGAATTTGCACGCGCCGGTCCGTCTTGGTCACGAGCGGAAACTCAAAGTTGGCCGTCTCGACGCCTGTCAGCGCCTTGGCAAAGACCTCGCTGACCGCCTCGCGGAACTCTTCGCTCACAAAGGTCGCGACGAGGTTCTCGCCCATGACCTCGTCCTGCGAGTACTGCGTGATCTCGGCGGCCTTCTTGTTCCAAATGTTGACCGAGCCTTGTGTGTTGACGCCAAAGATCGGCGCGTTCGCCTTGTCGATGAGCCGCGAGTGCTCTTGTTCTTGCGCAATCCGCTCGGTGATGTCTTGGCCAATGCCGACCATGCCCATGACCTTGCCGAGCTCGTTGTAGCGCGGCGTCGCGTTGAGCAAAATCTCGACGCGCCGGTCCGTCTTGGTGATGAGCGGAAACTCAAAGTTGGCCGTCTCGACGCCATTGAGCGCTTTCGAGAGGACGTACCCGACGGCCTTGCGGTAGTCTTCGCTGATAAACTTTTCCACGAGGTTCTGGCCCATCACCTCCTTCTGCGTGTACTGTGTGATCTCGGCGGCCTTCTTGTTCCAAATGTTGACGAGCCCGTTCTGGTCGACGCCAAAGATGGGTGCGTTTGCCGTGTCAATGAGCCGCGTGTACTCCTGCTCTTGCGCAATGCGCTCGGTAATGTCTTGGCCGATGCCGACGACGCCAATGACGTCGCCCATCTGGTCAAAGCGCGCGGTCGCGTTGAGGAGGATGTTGACCTTGCGCCCCGTCTTGGTCACGAGGGGCACCTCAAAGTCGGCCGTCTCGTAGCCTTTCAGCGCTTGCGTGAGCACGAGGTTGACAAGGTGCCGGTACTCTTCGCTGATAAACTTGTCGATGATGTTTTGGCCCATGACCTCGTCGTCCGAGTACTGCGTGATCTCGGCAATCTTCTGGTTCCAAATGTTGACGCGGAGCTCCGAGTCGACGCCAAAGATGGGCGCGTTCGCCTTGTCAATGAGCCGCGAGTACTCTTGCTCTTGCGCGACGCGGTCGGTGATGTCTTGGCCAATGCCGACGACACCGACGATGTTGCCAACCTCGTCGTAGCGCGACGTTGCGTTGAGGAGAATCTCAAGCTGCCGGCCACCGTTCTTGATGTCGAGCGGAAACTCAAAGTTGGCCGTCTCGACGCCATTTAGCGCCTGCGAGAGCACGGCGCCGACCGCGTCGCGGTAGTCGGGCGCAATGAACTCGTCGACGAGGTCCTTCCCCAGGACTTCGTCGGCCGTAAACTGCGTGAGCTCGGCCGCCTTTTTGTTCCAAATGTTGACGCGACCTGCACGTCGACGCCAAAGATCGGCGCATTCGCGCGCTCCAAGATGCGCGAGTAGACGTGCTCGGACGAGATCTTCTCGCTCGAGTGGTTGGTCACGTCCGTGCCGACGAGGACGCATCCGAGCACATTGCGCTGGCTGTCCAAGCGCGGCGCCGCGCTCAGCAGCATGTCGACGAGGTTCGAAGGCGACCCGCACGTCTTGAGCCCGCACTGGAAGACGACGGTCTCGGCCAGCGAGAGCACCTCGTGGAGCTGCTTCTCAATGTTGGCGCGGTTCAGTGGCACATCGCTGAGCGTCGCCGGCACGAACGCATCGATGAAGCTAATACCGACCTTGTCGGACGCGTAGCAGTCGAGGACGCGCTCGGCGCGGTGGTTCATGTAGGTCACGACGCCGTCGACATCGAGCTCGAAGACGACGCTGCCCATGGCCTCGAGGATACCTTCGTGGTCGACGGCTGGTCGCGCTTCCTCGTGTTCGCCGTCCGACGACGTGCTGCGGCGCTGCGGTGGCCGCCGGGACGACGTGCTTGTCCGCCGATCCATCGTGTTGCCCGGGCAACTTGCGCAATACAGAGATGGCGCAGGGCCAATGTCGACCGGATAGATATCCGGATATCCGACCCGCCTGCCGATTTTAGCGTAGTTTCGGCACGCGACTTGGCCGCCGTCGCCACAAGAGACGTGTGCGTGCGGTGCGTAGCTTCGTAATGCAGGCACGTATGGCAGCGTGGTCCATGCATCCTCAAGGAATCACAGCCAGCATGGGGAAACTCGCTTCACTTGGACTGACCACTTGGGCGAGAGTCCACCAGTGTCCGGCATCATCCCACGCACGCTGCCATGCAACGAAACGTGCATGAGAGCTTTCACCATGGCGCAGCTCCATGGCGCCAGCTCAATACGGCGCCCATGCCAATCTTACATCTGAGCTGGCTATGGCTGGCCCCACGGAATGCTTCTCTTCTGGACCGCTCGAGCTGCCGCGTAATGCGTTTTGACAAGCCCATGGTGGCTTCGGTTCGGTAAGTAGCTCGACCACAGACCGAGCTGCAGCAAGCAACGATGGGGTTGTAAAGCTACTACTTCCTGGGTCGATTGGCACGTGCGTCAGTTGTGGCTAAACGAGGATGATTTGCCTGTCAAGTGCGATTCAATTCGGCACATGCCGAATACAATCGCGTGCGCCGGATAGCCAGTGCCTCTGGTATCCGGATTGCATTTCGCGTTTGGTCGGCTCTCGAAGGATGATCGACAAGCGCCTCTTCAAGCCCGTCAAGGTCTTCTCGATCGGTCTCTGCTCTGCGATCGCGGTCAAGCTCGTGCTCTTCACCGAGTACAAGACGCCCATGGGCCTGCCGCAGCAAGACCACTGCTTCTCCGCGGTACGTGCCAGCATCGCCATCTCGTCTCCTCTCATGCCAGGCCATAGCTGCAACGCTACACGCAGGACCAGCTCGACAAGTTCTTCAAGGTCGACGACCTCGGCAAGACGACCAAGGAATAAGCCGCGGGATGTACAAGCAAATGTCTATTCTTCCTACGATAGTGTGTGCATTACGACTCGGGCTCGGGCGCGTCCGAGGACGACGACGGCGCAGGCTTGAAGACCGCGTACTGCGGCCGCGCCGATGGCTTGCGTGTCACGGCGCGCGACGACCCGCGCTGCGACCCGTAGAGGCCCGTGCGCGCAGGCGGCGCCATCATCGCGTTGAGCGGGTTACCGTCGTGCGACGCCGGCGCCGACGGCCCGCGGCTCGGTGGTGCCATCAAGGCCGCGAGCGGATCGTTAGTGGCTTGGGACGCGGGCGCCGACATGGCGGCGGCCGGGAAGCTCGTGGGCGGCGCCGACGGCGCTTCGTCCTCGGCGTCGTCGGCGCCACCGGCCGACGGGAACACCCACCGGTTCTTCTCCTTGTCAAAGTACGGCTGCGGCTCGTTGTCGGGCAGCTGGACGACGCTCGCATCGCCGACGGGCTCGAGCTTGTTCATCAAAAACTCCTTGATGCCCAGCGATGGCACAAAGCTCCACATGCTGCGCCCGCTCTTGGACCCTGTACTGCTCGGCGGCGGCGTCTTGGCCTTGGCCTTGGTCGGCGACGGCTCGGGCTTTGTCGGCTCGTCGACCGTCGCCGCCTTCTTGAGCTGCGGCGAGTCGGCCGGGAGCTTGGTCGTGTTGGACTCTTGGGTAAAGCTGTGGCTCCGGTGCAAGGGCGGGTGCGCGGCCACAGGCGCGTCGACGGGTCCGACGCTCGGCGCTCGCGGTGGCAGCACACCCGACGACGACGACGACGACCCGGGCCCAAAATGTTGTTGGTGTTGCTGCTGCTGCTGCTGCGGCTGCTGGTGCTGGCTGCTGCTGGAGCTCGGACCAAAGGCGTGGTGGCGCATCGGCGCGCCGTTGGACCCGGGACCACCGTGCAAGGGTCCGCTGTGGTTGGACCCGGGCCCGCCGTAATTGCTGTGGTTGGACCCTGGCGCCGGCGGGAAGAGGTGCTGCGGGAACCCCGGTTGCGCCGACTGGGGACCCGACGACGACGACGGAATCGGCTGCGGCATGGGCGGTGCGTCGTTGACCATTTCGTCGAGCTTCTTGTCGATCTTGGCGCGGAGCGAGGCAAAGAGGCCTTTCGACTCCTTCACGGCCGCCGCGTCCACGCGGTCTTGGCCCAGATGCAGCTTGAGTCGGTCCTCGAGCACGTCGAGCTGGAGCTTGACATTGTCGAGGTACGGCGAGAGCTTTTGCTTGGCGCTGATCGCTTCCAACTGCTTCCGCATCGCGTCCACGTACTTGTACGCGTCGTCGCAGCGCCCGAGGTCGGCGAGCAGCGACGCGTAAATGTACTTGTAGCCCTGGAGCGGCATGAGCAGCGCGGGCTTGGTCACGTGCTCGATGACTTCGGTCAAGTGGATCGTCTCGGGCCGCACAAACGACCGCGCCTCCGACTGCGCGCCACCAATTAGCACCAAGCGCGCACTCGGCGACGGTGCCTCAAGCGGCGCGCCGGCCAAGAGATAGCACACGTGCGCCGCGTATACGTTCTGCGCTTCGGTCGCGAGCCGGTCGCCGAGGCTCAGGAGCGCCGCGTTTGTGTCCTTGGTCGGATTCGCAATCCACATGACCACGTGCGAGAGCCAGTTGGCGAGCAGCGGCGACGCCGCCGCCGACGTTGACGCCGCCGCGTTCAGCGGCACGGGCTCTTGCACGCTCTTCTCGCCCAGGTCGCCAAAGAGCAAGAGGAGCGACCGGAGCGGGTCCGCCGGCGTGTACTGGCTCGCGACAAAGGCTTGGACGACCGCCTACCGAAGGTTGAGTTACGACGAGCGCGACGCGACGACCTTGTAGGCGTCTGGATCGACAAACGAGGCGATGAGCATCGCTTGCGGCCACAAGCTGGCGGCCGTGGCGATCTCGATCGCGCCTTGGCGGTCGCCGGCGAGCAGCAGCTGGCGCATGCGATGCGACGCGTCGGGCGACTAGACGCGCATGAGCATATATATCTGCATTGGAAACGTGGGAATGCATACAGCGACAATCGACGGCGCGTGGACGTCGTGCGATACGGTCGGCCGCCGGGCGAGCGTGTTTTGGAGCAGCTGCAAGACGAGGATCTCGGGCGCTTGCGCATCGCGGGTCGCAATGCGCCCGTGCGTCTTGACAAACACTTCGATCAGTTCCCAGAGAAGCTTGGCGTCGTCGTCTGCGGCCGTCGCCCCTTGGCTCTGGAGGTACTTTCTACAGCAGTCGAGTGGCATCAGGCCCACGGGATGCTTCATGATGACGTACAAAACGGCGTCGTCGGTCGTCGACGGCTGCGCGAGCGGGCCCGGGAAGGCCTGGAGGCGCTGCCAGTAGGCGTCGTTCGGGTGCAGCTGGTCCATTGTGTAGAGCACGATCGGGCCCTTGCGCAACTCGCCATCGTCGACGGGCTCGTCAAACGACGCCTGGTGCGCCCTACAGAGCAGCGTGAGACGAAATGTATCCATCGATCAACAACGTACAGGGGGCGAGGACTGTTGCGCGTCGCGAAATGGTTGAGCTTGAGCTTGCGCTTCGGAAACATGGCCGCAACCGTGCCGCCAAAGCCAAACGTCACCAAAGCAGACGGCGGCAGCACGCGCGGATCCTTGTACGTTTGGCTCGTCCGCACCGGCGCCTTGGCGGGCACAGGTGCCATCGTCGACGTCGCTACAGGTGCTGCTTGGTACTGCTTCTTGAGCGCACGACTCATTTGCGGTGGAGCTGGCTCGTACGACGACGAGGGCGTCGTCGGCGCCGCTTGCGCCTTAGGCACAAAGAACGACGGCTTCTTGGGCTTCCCGGCCGAGGGTGCAGGCTGGTGCCCGTACGCGGCCGGCACTGCAGCGTACACTGGTGCTGGCTCGGGCGTGTACGACGGCTGCGCATAGCCAACGGGTTGACCGTACGTGTTGGCGTTGGTGGCGTACGATGGCTGCTGGTACGACGCGTGCGGCGCCGTGTAGCCAGTTGGCTGTTGGTACGGCGTTGGTAGTGGTTGCTGGAACGCTTGCTGCGGAAACGTCGCCGCCGGCTGCTGATAGGGCACTGACCGCGGATACGCAACTGCGGGTTGCGGATACGCGGCTCCTGGCTGCTGGTAGGCCGGCTCTGGCGTGTACGCGGCCTGCTCTTGGTGCAAGTGCGCGCCTTGGGCGCCGTAGGTCGCCGCACTCTGTGCTCCGCCGCGCGGAGAAAACGTCGACTGCTGGTACGACGCAGCAAACGGATCCGCTGTCGCCGACTCGCCAAACTGAGGCGCGTCAAACGCAGACGGGGTGTCAAACGCAGACGGGGCGTCAAACGCAGACGGGGCGTCAAACGCAGATGAGGCGTCAAATGCAGATGAGGCGTCAAACGCAGCACCGAAACCGGTTGCATCGGGCGCCGACTCGAACAGCTCGGCTGCATCGTGGCTCGGCTCGTCGTTGTGCGAAGGCGTTGGCAATGACGGCTCGGCGGCGACGACGCTGGCGTTCTCGACGTGGCAAACCGGCGCGGGGCTACCAACATGCGCATTCACGGGAGCGCTGCTGTATGACAACGGCGCGGGTCTCTCGTGGACGGACGCCGGGGTTCCAAAGGCCGTCGGCACAGAGCTGAAGCCTATGCTTGGTGGCCCAAAGCCGCTCGGCGTCGAGTCAAAGGTCGCAAACGTAATCTCCGTGCCATTGGTCGGCGAAAAAAGCGAGTCGGCCATCGGCACGTCGTCATCGTCGTCGGCCTCGAGCTCGATGCGCAGTGGCGCAGCAACCACCGCGCTGCCGTCGTAGTCGGGGTAGTCGGGAATGTCGCTGTACGACTCGGGACGCCCCGTAAAGACAACAGGCGCCTCCACCACAGGCGACGCGACCGACGGCGGTGCGGCTGCAAAGGTCGCTGGCAACGAGCGAGGTGCGACAGCCTTTGGTGCCGGCGTCGACGCCGACGTTTCGACACCACCGGTCGACATTACCGATGCCACCGCAGGTGTCTCGTACGCTGGGCCAGAGTTCAACGATGATTGAGCGTCAACCGATGTCGCATGCACGGAAGCTTCGTACACTGGCCCTGGTGCTTCGTACACCGGCGTGGGAGCTTCGTACACCGGCGCGGGAGCTTCGTACACCGGCGCGGGAGCTTCGTACACCGGCGCGGGAGCTTCGTACACCGGCGTGGGAGCTTCGTACACCGGCGCAGGAGCTTCGTACACAGGCGCAGGAGCTTCGTACCCCGGCGCGGGCGCGTCAAACACCTGCTCGGGAGCATCGTACACCGGGGCTGGCGCGTCGTACCCCGGCGCCGCGGCATCAAAACCAGACATCGGTGGCGCGTCAAAGGCCGTCGACTCCCCGTACGCATGTCCATCGTAGTTGTACGCGTCGTGATGGTATTGCGCGTGCGGTGCCGCCTGCTCAAAGTGGTTTTGCGCGTCAAACTCGTGCTCGTGCTGGGTAGCGTCGTAGCCATACGCCGGCTCTGCGTACGTGTGCTGTTCAAACCCAGCGTCAAAGCCGTGGTCGGCCGAGGCGCCAAACAGGCTCGACACGTCTGGGGCATCCGGTGAGCTGGCAAAGAGGCTGTCGGCACGGTTGTCGGTGGGCGCGTGACTGAACGACGGCGCCTCATTGTCGCTCGCATCGGCAAACAGCGATGCCGCCGTGTCGTCGGGCACCGGCGGCGCCAGCCCAATGACCGACGACCCGTAGTAGGCCTCGCCAGCGTTCGCCGACGCATCGCTCTGTTGCGGGAACCACGGGTCATGGGACGCGCCGAAATGCTCACGTGCGTGGTCGTCGCCGCGGGGCGAAGCATCGTACACGGGCTCATCGCCGCCAAACCCGCTGCCGTCGACAGCCGAGTGCCCAAACACGGATGACGCCGAGTGCGCGTCAAAGGGCGTCGTGTCGTGCTGCTCTGGATGCGCCGTCGGCGGCTGGTCGAACGCTGTCGATGCAGTTGCAAACAACGAAGCGGCGTCTCCGCTATCTTCTGGCGCCGTGGACGGGGCGTTGTCCGTTGGCGACGTGGCCGAGGCGGGCGCTGCCGTCGAGAAACCATCGTCAGTCGACAGGTTCCAGCCCCATTCGTTGTTATACGAGTCGTTGCCAAACTCGCCGCCAAAGTGGGGGTTGGTGTCTTGGCCAAACAACTCGTCGGCGGAGGGCTCGTCGACGGGCGCCGAGACGACCGGCGACTCCACGGCAAGCGGTGCTGCTGGCGCCGACGAGAAGCCATGGTCGTTGTCGGTCGACGGGTTCCAGCCCAATCCTTCGCTGTATGGCTCGTTGCTGAACTCGCCGCCAAAGTCGGGATTCGTCTCGGGTACAAAGGCGGCAGCCTCGGCCGCCGGGGCTTCGGCGGGAGCTGAAACGACTCGTGTCTCGACTGCTGGCATGGGAGGCGCAGCTAGCGACGCCGAGAAGCCATTGTCAGTTGACTGGTTCCAGCCCCACTCGCTGTTGTGCGAGTCGTTGCCAATGTCCGGGTTGCTGTCTGGGCCAAACAACTCGTCGGCCGTGGGCTCTTCAATAGGCACTGGTACCGCTTCTTGCTCGTACTGAAGCACGTCACCGTCGTTGCTTTCGTCGGTCGGCGGGTTCCAGCCCCACTCGCTGTTGTGCGAATCATTGCCAAACTCGCCGCCAAAGTCCGGGTTGGTGTCTTGGCCAAATAGCGCGTCGGCCGCAGGTTCTGCCACGGACACAAACGCAGCGGGCGGCCCCACCATCGTCGATGGCGGCACGGCAACCACGCTGGTATCGTCTTCAACGGACGGGTTCCAGCCCCACTCTTCGCTGTACGGCTGGTTGGTAAATTCGCCGTCAAAGTCGGGGTTCGACTCGGGTACAAAGGCGGCAGCCTCGGCCGTCGGGGCTTCAACGAGTGTCGGTGCGGTCACGTCCGCGCTGACTGCGGACGAGACGCCATCGTCGGTGGACGGGTTCCAGCCCCACTCTTCGTTGTACGAGTCGTTGCCAAACTCGCCGCCAAAGTCGGGGTTCGTCTCTGGTACAAATTGCGCGTCAGCCGTGCGCTCTTCAACGGGCACAGGTGCCACTTCTTGCTCGTACTCAGGCACGCCACCGTCGTTGCTCGCGTCGGTCGACGGGGTCCACTCGTTACCAAACTCGCCGCCAAAGTTCGGGTTGGTGTCTTGCGCCGAGGTCGCGTCCGCAGCCGGCGTCGACACGCTTTCTTGCATCACTGTCACCGGTGCATCGGGCAACGAGATACCCACGTCCTCTTCCACCGACGGGTTCCAGCCCCACTCTTCGTTGTACGACTCGTTGCTGAACTCGCCACCAAAGTCTGGGTTGGTCTCTTGGGCAAAAGCACCGTCGTCGGCTTCCGACACAACCACCGAGGCAGCAGGCTCGTGCAATGACGCCGCGCGAATGCCCTCGTGCTGAGCCTCGGGCACGATGCTCGGCTCGTCGTGGCCTTCGCCGTCCAGCGCAAGTTCGGACGTCGACACAAAAAGCGAGTCCGCAGCGGGCGCATCAACGGACGCAAGCATGTCGGCGGCCGGCTTCCAGTCGTCATTGTGTGTCTCATGGTCGAATGCGCCGCCAACATCGGGGCTCGCTTCGGCAACCTCGACGGGTGCTTCCGTCTCCACGACCGGCTCCGCGTACGAGGGATCGTCGACCTCGGGCAGCCCGGCGGCGGCAGCGAGTTCCGGCATCTCGCTCGACGGTGCGTCGGTCTCGTCGTCGTGCCAGGTCTCGTGTGCATCGGGTACAGTCTGTGCATCGTGGTCATTCCACGACTCGAAAGTCGTCGTAGCCTCGTCTTGGGCAACCACGGGCTCGACGCCTGCATCGGCGACCACGGCAACGGCGGGTGTTACCGGTGGCACGTCGTCGACCATAGGTGCACTCTCGTCTTCGCTAATGTCCAGCGACTCGTCTGCAGACCACGCTGCCGCCGGCGTATCGGTATCCGTGAACGCGTTGACAGCGAACGGCACATGTGGTGCGACATCTTGGATGTCTTGCACGGCGAACGACGGAATGGGCTCGTCGATGGCAGGCGGTTCTTCCCACTGTGTATGCGCCGCGACTGCTTCCACCGCAGTCACGGCATCGGTGACCGACAATGGGAGGTCGTCCGCGCCGGTAATGTCGACGGGCGCCACGTCGGGTTCGTTTAGGTACGCGTCCGGCGGGCCGTCCAGCGACAAGCGGTCGGACCGCGGCGACGACGCGAGCGAGAGGTCGTCGGTCGAGCCCCACCCGTTGTCGTTGCCGTCGACGTCAACGTCGTTCAGGTCCAGAACATTCGTCGACGGCATGGGCGCCCCGAGCGTGATCGAGCGCGACGGCGACCCGGCGCCGTACGAGACGCTGCTTCTCGTATCTTTTTTGTGGTCATCGCCATGCCACTGCCACTGGTTGCCATGGGTGCTCGATGCTGCTGCAATCTCGGTGGGCGCCTCGTTGGTCGGAAACGCAGCTTCCGATGCACTGTCGTCTTCTTGCTCATCGTCGCCAAAGTCCAGCTCCGACCCAAACGCACCCTCGGGCGCCGTCGGGCTGAGGCAGTCACTGCCTGCTCGCCAGTCCGAGACCACCGGCGGTGGAACAGCCGCAACGTGCGGAGCAGCCTTGGGTTCGTCGTCGTCGTCAAACTCGAGCTCGTCGTCGTCGCGGCCAAGCAAGTGTGATGGCGAATCCGTGCCCCAGCCATGGGCACTGTCATTGTCGTCGGCAAAGAGATCCACGTCCGACATACCGAGCGAGAGCGGGTCCGCCGCCGGCGCTGTGTGGTGGGCCTTCATGCGCTGCTCCGTGAGCAGATCATCTACGACGTGGCTAGGCACCGAGTACCGGCTGCCATCGCGCGGGGGCATGAAGGGCTTGTTGCGCGTCGAGGGCGTCGCGCTCGGGTTGATGGTCAACGTCGACGTCCGCGGGGATTTCGGCGCTTGGCCGCGTGTCGACGTCGTCATACCATCTTGGTCGACGACCTCCCATCCTTCCGACGTGTTGGACGGAGGTCCATAGCGGGGCCCATGACCCTGCCGCGGAGGTCCATGGCCCGGCAACATGCGGGCTTCCTGCTGTTTCCTCGTTTGCTGCAAAAGAACCGCAAGTTAAAAATACACGACTCAATCCTCCGAGAATACATATTCGCAGCACAGCGACGTCGACGCCCGCATTGGCCGGTCCTACAGCTCTCTTCAAACCCTTCATATTCCATATCCTGCAGCATTGCATAGGACACGTGTGGAAGCGGATCGCCTTGAAACGGATTCTGCGAAAATGGATATCTTGAATTATAGCCAATGAGAGGCTACCACATCAGTCGCTGCGCTCGCCCTGACGTGGCATCGGCTACGCACGCGACGGCTTCAAGGCCGCTTGGACCCGCGCGCTGTGTTACGCTTCCACGCTTCGTAGCCTTCGCGAGCTTCCTTCTCCTGGCGCTTGGTCCCCTCCGTGAGGGCCGTCGCGGCCGACGCCGCCGGGACGACGACGATCCCTTCTTCGTCAGCAACGACGACATCGCCAGCATGCACGGACACATCGCCGCAGACGATGGGCTGGTTGAGCTCGCCAACGCGAGCTTTCGTGCCTGGAACGGGGATGACTCCCCGCGCGAAGACTGGAAAGGCCAAGTCGCGGATCTCGGCGATATCGCGCACGAGACCATCGAGGACAAGGCCTGCCACTCCACGCTCCTTGGCGATCCGAGCCACGTTGCCGCCGATCGCGGCGAACGCCATGTCGCCCGACTGCACGACCACGACGCTACCAGGCGGCGCCTCGTACATGGCCGCGTGCAGCATCAAGTTGTCGCCTGGTCGTCGTCCTGCATGAGCGATGAGCCGACAAACCCATGCTTGGTACCTGGCGACAGGCGGACCGTGAACGCGGGGCCGGCGATGCGCGGGCACGCCCAGAGAGGCCGGATGTTGTAGCGCATGACCTGCGTCCGCGGAAGCACGTCGGCGAGCGTCGTCGGCGAGAGCGCTTCGAACCCCGTCGTCGCCATCGTCGTATCTTTCTGTTCTGGCCACGCAAGCGGACTTACAGCAGTTGAGTCAACAGCGTACTTAATTGGACTAAAAATCTTTTGGTTCACGACAGCAGGCGCTGGGCATGCGGCGTGTGCCCATCGCTGCTCGTGGGGTGTGCTTGAAAGAAGCGTGTCGCCGCTGCTTTGGCGTCGTCGGCAGCTGCGGAGGCGACGCGCGCGGCCTCGGCGCCCTCGGCGACCAGGTCCCGCGTACGCTCTTCGCGCATGGGCACGCGAATGTGTTGCAGGTCGTGGGCGCAGTGCACGAGGCCGGTATAGTAGGCGCTGCACTGCGCTTTGATTTCGGTCATCGCGTGGGTCATTTCGTCCGAGGCGTCGTCGCGGTACCGGCGGCTAAAGTGGGTTAGCACAAGGCGCGAGGCGCCGATCGCTGCGGCGAACCGGCTGGCCATCGCCGGCGTCGAGTGGCCGTGGACAAACGTACGGGCTTCGACTTCTTCGCTCGTCGTTGCGTGGCCATCGAGCGAGGCAATGAACGCGTTCGTGCACTCGTGCACGACGACGTCGGCGCCGACGGCCAGCGATGCAATCGCGCGCGAGTCGCACGTGTCGCCAAGGATGCAGAGGCGCCGCCCATGCCGCGTCGGGCCGGCAATGTCGCGCTGACACAGCGATCCGTCGGCCAGCGTCACGGACGCCGTCGCGCTGCTCTGCACGATCGACAGCGCTTGGAGTGGGTTCTCCATACCGTATTTTTCGCGCAAGAAGGCAGCGTTGTCGTCGCGAAGGAGCCGTGCGCGGAGCGCTGGCGTCAATTGCACCCTAATGCTTTGCAGGTCGATCGGTAGTGGCGAACGCGGTATAGGTACCGTCCAGGGTAGTCTTGCTCTTGGATGACAAAGCCATAACAGGGCTCGAGCGTGTGGCGAAGCGCGGCGGCGCGTACATGAAAGGCCGACGGGCCCGGGCACGGAACGCGCCACGAACCATCGTCGCCCGCGACCACGTTGGCGCCGTCACGCTCGAACGGCAGCGGGGCGTACTCGCACACGAGCTCGGTGCTCTCGGGTGCCCATAGCTCGTCGACGTAGTACTGCGCACACTTCATGTTGGACTGCGACTCGGCAAAGTTGCGACGCAGGTACCGTCGCAGGCCGGGGGGCCCGACCACCTAGAATATATGACATGCCAAGAAAAGGGGAAGCATGCCAAGGGCCTACCTGTATCTCGCGGGCGACGCCGCCGTTGCCCGCCGAGAGAAGGAGGCCCATGAGCCCAAAGACGTGGTCGCCGTGCATGTGCGTCACGAAGATCCGCGAGACGGCGCTCAAGAGCAGCGACGCTTTCGAGAGCTGGAGCCCAATGCCTTCGCCGGCGTCGAAGATCCAGCAGTCGCCTGCGATCGAGACGCCAATGCCAGAGACGTTGCGCGTCGCGGACGACATCATGGACGACGTGCCGAGGAAGACGACCTCGACCGTCGGCGGCTGGACGTGCGCCGGTGGCATCCCACTCGAAACTCAAATCTCGAAACACTCGAAACGGTACGAATCGTGGCCACACATCCACTGTTTCCAAATCGTCCAACGCTGCACATCCACTGTTTTGGATCTTAAGGAAACGAAAAGAAGGTCCAGTCGACGGCCGCGAGCGGCGCCCAGTCGGCAAACAGCACGCCCGTCGCTGGCGTCGTCGTCGCCGTCGTGATGTGCTTGGGCTAGACGACGGTCACGGGTTAGACCGGCTACAAGCCCAAGCTATACCTTGATGGACGCGTGCCATCGGTTCTTGACTGCATTGTCCGTGCTATAGGAACGCCACGGTCAAACAAGATTGGAGCTCGCATGCTGCTAGAATAGTACCGGCCCGGCATCTCGTCGGCAATCGCAGACCACTTGTTGCCGAGCTCGTGCTGTCGCAGCAAGACCAACCGGTCTTCGGCGCCAGTCCACTCGGTGTGGCGAATGGTCGGGTCGAGTTGATTGTGCCAGCGCTCTCGGCACTGCTTGGCGTTGCGGTGCACGAGGTGCGACGCGAGAAGCGCCCACTTGCTTGGCCCGTGCTGGTGCACGAGCGCCGCCAGCAATCTATCTTCGCGAGCATCCCACACCCGCTTGTTGGCACCGCGCGTCTGCAGCAGCTTCCAGCGCTGCTTGCATTTTAGTGCTGATCGCCGCGGGCAACTGCGCGCAATGAGGTCCCAGTGGCAGCCGCCGTGGACGGCAATGGCGGTGCGCAGCGCTTGGTCCTACGACATGGAGTTTTGTGTCCGGACGCATCGATTCGGACACACCTCAACGCTCGACCAGAGCACATTATCAATGGTGGTCATCATCACAGAGAAGATGGAAGAATGACGAGCTACATTTAGTACATGCAGCACGCAACGCATGTGCCTATAGTATGCGAGACCCCCAGTGCTGGACAATCGGTCAGGCTGGAACAGTGAGTGTCGCACCGAAGGCGTCCAACGCCGGGTCCCACGCCACAAACCCGAGAGTGCGATTGTACTAGTAGTAGGGAAGACGTTCGACTGCCGATAGTATTCCAAGCACAACAGCATCAAGTCGGAGGCTCCATGTCGTCTGCGGCCCACCACCTGCAGCTCGGCTGCGTAAAATAATGACGTGTTCATGCCCGTGCGAGCGACGACGTGGGCGCATCCGACACGAGACCTTGAACCGATGCCGAGTCGTCATGTGCCACCCAAGCTCAGCGCCGCGTCGCCATCTCGTCCATCGTCTCTCCATGTCCCAGACACTTGAGCCGATGCTTCTTTGCATATAGCACCGAAAATAATGCGAGTGGCAACCTCAACTGCGTCTCGCAACGAGGACCGACGGCGAGAAGGAACCAGTGTTCGCGCCCGCGAGCTTTGCCGACGGGAATCATTCAGCATCTCGTCAGCACGGGTTCAAACACGCACCTTTATCACGAAATACGCACCTGTATTGAAGGATCCGCACCGACATGAGCCATCTGCGTTGGAAAACAGGTGCGCTTTATGGCCAGCACGCGATGCCATTGGCCAGACGGCAGTGGTTGGTTCTGGCGCGGCAAGCGCGGGTGGTGCAAACTCCGACGGAGTTCATTCTGCAATTGCTTTCAGTGAGGTGCGTTTGTATAATGAGGATCGGAAGCTTCGGCTTCCGTAGTTGTACGAGCTAAGATCTCATTGGAACTCTATAGAATTTGATCATGCAGATCTTCGTCAAGACGTTGACGGGTAAGACCATCACGTTGGACGTCGAGCCTTCGGACTCGATCGACAACGTCAAGCAGAAGATCCAGGACAAGGAAGGCATCCCGCCGGATCAGCAGCGCCTCATCTTCGCCGGCAAGCAGCTCGAAGATGGCCGCACGTTGAGCGACTACAACATCCAGAAGGAGTCGACGCTTCACCTCGTCCTCCGCCTGCGTGGTGGTGGCAAGAAGCGCAAGAAGAAGAACTACACCAAGCCGAAGAAGGTCAAGCGCAAGCACAAGAACGTCAAGCTTGCCGTCCTCAAGTTCTACAAGGTCAACGACAACGGCCAGATCCAGCGCCTCAAGAAGGAGTGCCCGTCGCCCGAGTGCGGCGCCGGTGTCTTCATGGCCACGCACTTTGACCGCCACTACTGCGGCAAGTGCCACGTCACGTACAAGTTCTCGACGGAAAACTAAATGTCTTCCATTGCGACCTTGCACGCTGACGTAGCCGACGACTTCCGACCATAACATGATCTTGTCTGAAAGTAATTCCATCTTCTCGACCACGCACGAAGCAGAGTACGCCCTGGACAAGTATCCGACGCGAGTCTGCGTCTGGCAACACGCCTGGTCACCCTTTTTACGTGGCGAGCCAGCCGGATGCACGAGCGGGCCTTTACCCGAGATGAATGGAAATCACATTATTAGTACCCCTTGAACCAACAAATGCCATCAAGGCGCGCGGTGGCTCGCCTCCTTGACGTACTCTTCGGCGTTGGGTGCACTAATCGCGCCTCGAACGTTGCCAATGTAATTGGCATCGAGGGACTTGATGGCAGCGTCGCAGCGCTGGACCAGCGACTCGCGCTTCGTGCGCTGGGAGTCGTGAACGATTCTTGCCTCCTTGGACGCGAGCTCGCCTTGCGCCGCGTGTTGCTGCTGGTGTTTATGCCCCAAGGCCTCGCGCGCAGCGTCGTCCCGTCTGACACCAGCCTTGGACTGGACCTTGTGCTGGTCCGTCAAGCGGCCGCGTGCCCGCGCAAACGTGGCGCCAGAGGATCCCGTCTCGTCGCGCTCTTGGCGCAGGACGCGCCAGTCTTCGCCTTCGGCCACGTGCTCGAGGGAAACGCGGTCCGTCTGCTTACGGTCAAGCGCCTTCGCCTCGCGCGTCTGGGCTTCGTCGAGCAACGTTTGATGCAAGCGGCTGTACGTCGCGAGCCCTTCGTTGGAAATGCTTTGCTGCGCCTTCTGGGCGCTTTGCTTGGCGTCATGGGCCTGGCGCAGGTCTGCCTTCTCGGCCGCGTGGTTGGTCTCGAGCTCTTCGAGCGCACACTCGAGGAGCATCTTCTTCCACGCGTCGGTCATTTTGGCAAGTGCGCCACGTCCCGTCCCTGCAACGACGCGAATCCGAAACCAGCTCGACGACCATTAGATGAGCCCATCGCCGCCTCCCACGTCATCTTGGTCAAGGGCCCTTGCCTTGCGTGGTCGACTGCTTCGTGCAGGCCCTTGCAGCGAGCCTTTGGCGGCACCCGCTGCTGCACAAACCGTTTCACATTGCACTCGACGCCACGGACGACCCATCATCATGACCGTCTCGATGCTCATGGCCGTCGTCGCCTACGACGACGCCATCGCGCCGCCCGCGGTCGAGTGGTCGTACCCGCCGTACGTGCCGACCGAGGTCATCGACGCGTCGTCGTCGACGCTCTGGACCGACGAGCTGCGCGCGCTGGTCCCCAGCCTCGTGCGCCCGCCGCGTGACGCCGCAACGTCACCGTACTTTTTCCACGTGCCGATGACGTGGCACGGCGTCGCGTGTTGTCGCGTCATCGGCGAGCGCATCACGGTCGTCGTGCTCTTGACCACGCGGCTCGGTGCTTCGCTCATCGCGTCGCTCGCAGCCACGGCCCAGTCGTTCTTCGAGCAGGTCGAGGACAATATTGTCGTCGTTTTCACGACGTTGCCACTGGGATTGTAGACGTGTACCGACGACTACACGTGCTTGATCGAGCTCTACGACGCGCCGTTGAAGGCCGATGCGACCGAGTGGCCACTGCAGGAGCTCGTGACGACACTGCGCGCGTCCTTGTTGCCGCTGCTTCGGCTCGTCTTGATCGAAGGCCGCATTGTCGTCTTCGCCGCGTCGCCCGCACGCGTCTCGACGGCCATCCAAGCGCTCCTCTCCCTCTTTCCTGGTGGCTACGTCGCGGCGCCTCCGAGCGATGCGCCGACGTCGTACCGCTTGACCAAGTTTGGGCTCCCCCTCGTCCTTGGCGACAACGACGACCACTTGTTTTATCTGCAGGTACAAGACAACCATCACCGCTTGTGGCGCGGGATAAGGAAGCGTATTCAACGTAGCCGTTCCTTGGCTCGGCGGACTTGTTGTCCTCGGCGCTCTCGTCGCACCTTGGCGGGTGCGTCGTCGGCTCGTGCGATACGCTGGCGCTGCGGCTCTGCAGCACGACGGTGGCGAATATGCCGCCGATCGATGCGATCGTGGATCTCGACTCGGAGCACGTTCACTGGCTCACGGAGCGCGGCGCGATGGCGGCTGACGTCGGGCCCGACACGAAAGCACTTGGCGCCACCCTTGCTGCCACTGTCCATACTTGTAGTACGCACGCTCTCTGAAAGACCAATACGGTTGGCATACCAAACGATTCTTAGTGTCGTCGGCGCTGCCGTCGATCGAGTACGTTGGCAGCGACGCGTGGGTGCGCGCCCAAGTCCAAACGCGCTTCTTCGAAGCGCTCCTCGACGCCGTCGCAAAGCCAAAGCCGCGCCGGTCGTCGTTCACCGACTTTGTGTGGCGCTCGTCCTTGACGCCCCTCCAGGTGGAGCACCACGCCGACTGGCTCGACGCGTGGTATTTAACCTACAACCACACTACGTGGCGCGCGACGCAGTCGCTCGAGACGGTCCAGCTGCCGGTACCGGCGCCCGTCGCGGGCCATGGCCGGTACACCTATCCCTCGGGCGATACGTACGTTGGCGACTTTCTCGACGGCCAGCGCCACGGCCGGGGCACGTACACCGTGTCTGCTACCGGGTACACCTACGTTGGCGACTGGGTCCACGATTGCCGCCACGGCACCGGCGTCCTCACGTACAATAATGACGCGTGTCACGTGCTTGAACCTAGCCCTGATGTAGGACGCACCAGGGCACGTACACCGGGTCCTGGGCCGACGACGTGCGCTGCGGCGACGGCCTCTTTCAAGAAGGCGACCGCTTCGTCTACAAGGGTCGGTGGAAGCGCAATGTCTTCCACGGTCTCGGTCACCTCGCCGACGCCAAGCGCGGCTTCAACTACGACGGCGAGTTTCTCGACGGACGCCCGCACGGCGTCGGGAAGGCAACGTACTCGTCGGACGCGAGCTTTGCGACCTACAGTGGTGAGTGGGCCCACGGGTGCTTTGACGGTGTCGGCACGCTCCAGTACCGTGACGGCAGTGTCTACGCTGGCACGTTTGTTAAAGGCGAGCGCCACGGCCAAGGCACGTTTTCGGACCCGACCACCGGCGACGACTACGACGGCGACTGGATCAACGACACGCGGCATGGGTTTGGCAAAGCGACGTCGGGCGCCTCGAAAGAGTCGAGAGAAGGACCATGGCGGGCCAACACGATGGTCCAAGGCCACGGCCAGGACTGGATCCTTTTGTATCCCAGCGGTGACAAGTACAGCGGCGAGCTCCAGCAAGGCCGCCCGTGGGGCAGCGGTATGTGATCACCGTCGAAGACGCCAGTCGCTGACTTGCCGTGGTAGGAACGTGCCGGTATGCAAATGGCTCGGTGTACACAGGCGACTGGGTCGACGGACTCCGGCAAGGCCACGGCATCTTTGTCAACCACGACGGCGCGACCTTCGATGGCCAATGGCGGAACGGCCAGCCGACGACCGGCGACGCCCCGGTGTACGTCGAGATCTCCTTGGTACGTGCGCATCGCTCGTCGATGATGTAAATTCTGTCCATTCTTGTGTAGACGGAAGATAACGCGACATGTACGCAGGATGACGCGCCGACGTCGGCGCCAACGACGATCACGTATCCCAATGGCGATACGTATGCCGGTGGGCTTCGCCAAGGCAAGCGCCACGGCCGCGGCAAGTACATTTCAAAAGCGTCGCAGCACACGTACGACGGCATGTGGGACATGGACCGCCGTCACGGCCACGGTAACACTATCCATCCAAATCGAATATTCAAATCGAATATCCAAAACGAATATCCCAACTATCCAGGCGTCTTGACAAGCGGCGCCCACGACTTTGTTTACGACGGCGCGTGGGTGCACGACACCCGGACAGGCCTCGGCAAGTGCATCTTGCGCGGCGTCGAGACCTACACGGGTACTTCCTTGCACGATCATTTGTTTGGACAAGTCGTCTAGGGGCCTGGCACGCCAACGCCTTCCATGGGACTGGCACGTACACCACCGCGGACGGCGCCGTGTACTCTGGTGAGTTCGAACACGGCTTGAAGCACGGCGTCGGAACGCTACGAAGCGCCGACGGCTCGACGTATCAAGGCGAGTTTGCAAAGGGCCAAAAGCACGGGCTCGGGACGCTCACGTACGCCAACGGCGACCTCTACACCGGGAGCTTTGCCCACAACGCGCGCGACGGCGACGGCACCTTGGTGACGTCGACCGACACCTTTGTGGGCGCGTGGCGCGCCGACGTCAAGCACGGCCACGGAGTCCTGACGCGGCCCGACGGCACGACCAAGGACGGCGTCTGGCAGTGCGACGCGCCGGTCGATGGTCCATGGACGATCACGTTTCCGACGCGCAGTGTCTATGCCGGCGACTGCGTCGGTATGCGTCCGCACGGCCACGGCGTCTGCAAGTACGCGAACGGCGACGTCTACTCCGGCGCTTGGGTCCACGGGGTACGGATCGGTATCAAACTATCAAACTATCAAGGGAATGGTAGGTGCGCAGCGGCTGGGGCGTCTGCGTCTTTGGCAACGGCGATGTCTTTGACGGCGAGTGGACCCAAAACCACGTGTCGCTTCACGGCACGGGCACGCTCACGCTCGCCAATGGCACGGTGCATGCGTACAACGGCGCGACGTCACCGAGCTAAGGTCGTGTTGATGGAATTATTCTTATTTTTCTTGCCTTTGGCCGTCTTGAGCGCGGCTTCGGCCGATTGAATTTTGAGCAGCACGAGCTCCTTCTCGGTCTTTTTGAACTCGGCCGTGACGTCGTCGACCGTCTCTTGCAGCTGCGCGAGCTTCAGCTCGGTGGCAATGAGCTCGGTCTGGTAGAATTCGTTCTCGGCCTTGAGTTGGTGCCACTCGTCCGCCGAGACGACCGACGACTGGTGGAGCTTGACGTTGAGCGCATCGTTCGTGGCTCTGGCCGCGTCCAGCTCGGCGGTCACGGTTGCCAGCTACACGTATCTTATTGAAAGCACTTGACCAGCGGTGTCGTACCGTTGATTTCGCCGCCGTCAACTCTGTTTCGAGGTGCGACGTCGCATCGTCGTCCGAGTCCCCGTCATGCACGGCGTCGAGGGCCGCCGCGAGCTAAGGACAGTCGAATGACTATGATCCATGCGAGTCGACACGGCGGCGCACCGATGTCTTTGTCGTCTGCAGCTCGTCTTCGAGCTCGGCAATTCGAAGTCGGAGCGACGTGCCATTGACCGCCTGGAAGCGACTGAGACGTGCTCAACAGCAGGTGGCGCTGTACCTGGGCTTTGGCCGCTTCGGCTGCTGCTACCGTCGCCTCGAGTGCAGCTATGCGTTCTACCTTGACGGCCAGCTAATGGCCACGTCATTCACATGAGATCACGGCGTCTCGTTCATGGTTCACCAAATCATTCGACGCTTGCAGCTCGACCTCGAGGGCTGCGACTTGTGGCGATGTTGTGGTTGACGCGCGCGCCATCTCCAGCTCCTGTTGCAGTTCTTGGATCTCGAGACGGGACACCGCCAACTAGAGGCGCTGATAAAACATCATTTTGTGGGTAGTAAGAGCATACCTCGCGTCGCACCTCGGCGAGCTCGTCGTCGCTTGCAGGAGCAGACCGCCGCTCGTGCGTGGCCGTGACGTCGGTACTCGAGTCGACCTGCACGACCGACGACCGGCTGCCCGTCGTGTCGCCGTCGTCGTCGTCCGAATCGTCGTCGTCGCCCGAGTTGGACGACGATGCGCGGCCTTTCATGAGTGCATTCACATGCTTTTCTTGAAGCGCCTGCAACTCTGCCTGGCAGCTCGACAACTAGTACGTCAAGAACACAGACATGAGACGGCCGTTTGCAAGCAGCTCCAAGAACCTCGGCTTCGAGACGCGCGACGCGGTCATCTGTCGGAGCATCGGCGGTCCCTTGCGGTCGACTAGCGTCCTGGAGCGCCTCGAGCTCCTTCATAAGGGTCGCCACCTACCCACGACGTGTCGTATTACGACATGGAAATCGCACGAGAGGATAGCAACATGAGCGGTGAGCGCGGAGCACTCGAGGGTTCGTTCGCTCAGGGCCACACGCAGTGCTGACTCGGCAGCGTCCGACACGACGCGGTCGAGTTCGGCTGTTTTCTCCGAGAGCTAGACAATATCACGCTTGCCAACATGTCGCGACGTGGAAGAGATCAACCTCATATTGCAGATGCTTGGTTTCTTGCTTCATGTCGAGGATCTGCGTCTTGAGCGCGTTCACTTCGCTCGCGACGCTGTTGCGCTGCACCTCGACGCGCAGCTAGCCACATGTCGTATCATCATCACCTAGCAGTACGCTACCTCGGCTTGGAGCCGTTCGTTGTCGTCCGAGAGCACGTGGAGCTCGGCGTGCAGGCCAGAGATTTCCATGGCCAACTGCGCGGTGGCTTCGTAGACCTTGGCGGTCGTCACCTCTTCGTTGACGCTCGCAAGCGCTTCCAACGACGCGGCCAGCGCATGCTTTTCCTGGGTTTCCACCCCCATCTACTCGGTTCCTAGGCTCCATCCTCGGGACGCGATGGATACCTTTTCAGTAAGGGTGTCGATCTCGGCCTCGAGCTGCGATGTCCGCGTCGTGAGACGTCGCACCTCGACCGACGCTGTCGTCCGTTCATTCTCGAGCGCGTTCAGTGTGTGCCGGAGGTCGTCGAGTTGGCGCTGGTTGTCGGCTTGCATGCGCGAGTGCAGCTCGAGGGCGCTGGCAAGCTCTTGCCGCGTCTCGTGGAGCTACAAATTCACTGCGATGAGAATCTAAAGGCTTGGGAAGAGCAACCTCGTGGTCGGTGGCCGCCTTGGCGTCCTTAAGGTCGCGGACTTGCTGCTTGAGGTACGCGACGTCGGCGTCGACGTTTATGGACGACGCTACCGTGTGCTGCGACGACGCGCGCGCCCGCTCCATGTCTTGCGGCGGCATCGTGCTCGGAAAGTGTGCACCGAGGACATCGCGGACTTGGACGACGTGTGGCGGCTTGGCCTTCTCGGCCGCGAGCTCTTTTCGTAGCGACGCGAGCTCGGTCTCGAGTGCCGCCGCGGCGGTTGAGAGCTCGAGGATCTGCGCGTCCTTGGCTTGCAGCTACACCGTGCGATGTCGTGCCTGCGTGCAGTCGATGTAGCGTCTACCTCGATCGCATCGGCACTCGTCGTGGAGGTTGGACTGGCGTGGCGACCGCGCGTGAGAAGCTATGGACGCGCATGAGCCGTTTGCCAAGACGATTGCAGTCGCACCTCTTCTTCGGCCTTGGACTTGGCTTCACGAAGCTGCTTGTTTTTGGACTGCAGCGTCGTGACCTCGTCTTGGAGCTCTTGAATGTTGCTCCGGAGCATCGCCACAAGCGCATTCTCGCTGCTTTCTGGAGCGTCACGTGTCGTCTGGCGGCGAAGCGCTTCCTGCAGCTGCTCAACTTCGGCCGTCTTGAGCGTCAGCGCCGCCGTCGCGTGGGCATGCAGCTCCAGCACATGCTGCAGCTCCGAGCTTCGCTCAAAGAGCTACACCATCATCGTAAGCGGTCGCACCACTGGCAAATGTACGAACCTGGTTTTCAAAATTCTCGACGTCGCGCTGGAGCGATGCGATCGTCTCTTGGAACGACCTGTTCTCGCTTTGGAGGCGCACGACCTGCTCGGCGACCGTGTCGGCCACCACGTCGAGAGAACTCGCGATCGCCGCGGGCGCCGTCTGGTACTGCACCGCCAGCACCGTCGTCTCGCGACTCTGGCCTTCGGTCCACGACGCCAACGACCGCTCTTGCGGCATGCTCGCGTCGGCTTGCAACGCCCGGAGTTGGGCTTGCGCAGCGTCGTTGGCGGTCTGGAGCTCGTGCAATTTGGCCTTCAAATCTTCGTTGACGCTCGTGAGATGGCGAATCCGCTCGAGCTGGACAACGTTGACGCGGGAGCTCGACTCGAGCGTGTTTTGCAGCTCGGTGCGGCGTAAGACGACCTCCTTCTCGGCCTTCGCTTTCTTCTCGCGCAGACTCTGGAGCTCGTCGTGGAGCGTCGACTGCGACGACTGCAGCTGCCCATGCTTGGTCTTCCATTCGTGCACCTACTCCATAGATAATGGTCGCATTGTGCTCGTAGGACGGTCGTCGGATGTACGTCGTTCAGCGACGTCTTGTACTGCTCCTTGGCGTCCGAGAGCTGCTGCGAAAGCGCCTCGATTTTCGCTTGGAGCTCCTTGGTCGTGCGGTCGTACTTGATGATTTGGGTTGCAAAGTTGACAGCATTTTCCTAAACCTCCAGTATGAGCGCCAATCCAAACGTAGGACGCACCTCGTGCATCGTCGTCGCCTCGGGAATCGTTGTGATGATGTGCGAGGATGGCGGGCGTCGGTCGGGGGACGACGCCGACGAGCGCCGCTTCTCGGGCGACGTCTGACTGCTGTCTTCGCACTCGGACGACTCGTGGTCGTGCTACACGCCGCCGCCATGAGCTCGTTACTACGTACGGTGGCGACGAGGTACATGGAGCGCCGACGATGTACTGGACGCGGTCACGGGTCTACAAGAGGTCTCTGCTAAGCCTTGCAGGCATCGGCAGAGGAGGTACACGCACCGCTCGGTGTCGAGGTTGCTCGTAATGGTGACCTAGCGGAAACCACGTGGCGATTCGCCCGCATCGCGATCCCGACCACATACCACGAGGGTCGCATTGCCCCAGCTCTTCTTGGCCTGCAGCGTTGCATCGCATGCGTTCGTGCTGCCGTTCTTGTCCGAGATGTACGTGGCGAGGTCGAGCTCGAACGTCGCGAGGTGGCCGTCGCCTTTGGCCTTGAGCACGTCGATGGTCATGGGCTTGGACTGGTACCCGGACGACTTGCCGCTGCGGTACATGGTCGCATGCAAGCTCAAGACCTCGTCCGTCCATGGCGCGTGGCGGCTCGCTGTGTCGCTACGGAAGGCGCCGACCTTGGCGTTGGCGCTCTTGACCTTGTGCTGGCCGCGGGTCGCGACTGCGTAGATGCTCTCGGCCTCCTTGAGCTCCGGGTCCGCAGTCGTCAGGCGGTGCAGCGTGACCTGCACGTGGAAGCCGACGCCCGTCTTCCCAGCATGCGTCGCTGCCCGCAGGAACCTCGACATCCGCTATATTAAGACTGCTGAAGATCGAGCGACACAGGTATGCGCTCTCATTGGCCAAAAAGACGTTGCTTTTCGAGGGGCTGACCAATCGGTATTTATAGCTGGCGACAGGAGATGTCGCCACGTAGTACGAGGGTTCGACGGCGCAACGGCCGCGTGAGATCCACGCACCTGGCGACGACCTCGATGGAACTCGAGTAGTAGTGCATCGACTAACTAGATTAGGACATCGACTAACTAAATGGCGGCGCGCCGTGTGTGGGAAGCGAGCAAGAAACAAGTGCTGAGCGAGCAGCCATTTTTTCGGATCCAGGACCGAGGCCAACGACTCTATCTATTCCAGGAGCCATTGTGATGTAACCAAGGAGGTATACATTGGGTAGAAGAGGTAGAGAGGGGGTAGCTGCGACCAGCTACCGCTACCAAGCTACTTGACAACCATTCGGCTGAGATGACCGCTTCTCGATCTCCCATCGCTGCATATCACGAAACCTCTTTAAAAATGTATATAGACC